TCGGCTTCGACGATCCGGCACGGATGCACTAAAATCCACCCGTCGACCTCTTCTCCTCCCTAATGGCCGGTGTCAAATCGGGACTTGTCTGTTTTTCTAACCTGTTTCGAGTTTGTTTAAAAATTTTCCTGGGACCTACCAGCAAGTGCAGAGAGGAAACTGGATGACGTTAAGGTGATCTTTAGTACTTTGGTGAGCGGTTCGATGGTCGATCAATTAACTGATAATTATGTCTGGATTTTAAGAATTTTTTTCAGAATTGACGAGCGTCACATCATAATGCTGCAACATGTCATTTGTACACAAAATGTGACCAAGAAACACTCCGAAAATAAGGCCCGAGTGTACATATTGCAAATCATACATACTGCAAATCGGAAGGCAACACGATATCGATGGTGAAACTGCAAAAGTGCGTATATCGGTTGCGGTGTTGGAAAATCTTCGCTCCTATTTTATTTTTTAAAAGGAAACCGAAGCAACATTGTGGCTTGAAATGGACCACTAGACAAGGTACGAATTTAAGCAATCTGATGCATGTTTCTTAACCAGAATTTCACGTAGAACACGATTAGCGCAATGGATATTACTGGAACTGACTCCTAACGAAGATATCAACGTTTTTATTTCACATTGGGTACGAGGAATTAGAACTGCCCGCTCACAAGAAACTCAAAGCTCTACGTGAGTCAAATCGCGCACTACAACGGTTTCAGTAAGCTTCTCAATTGAGTAATGTTCATTTCCCACCATGTGTTGTTCAAACTATGAGCAATTTGCTATAGCTGAACCAAAGCGTCAAAATTGAGGTTGCCACATTTTTAAATCGCAAATACTGTCATGGTAACGTTTAGCGCGCGATGTGAATCACGTAGAGAATTGAGTTTTCATGAGCGGGTGGTTTGAATTTACGCATCAGAAATCATTAAATATCTTCATAAGGAGTTGATTTCGGTATTTTTCGTTGTGCGCATCGCGTTTTACGTGAAATTTTGATTAGGAAACATGAATCAGAATGCTGAAATTCGTACCTTGTCTGGTGCTCCATTTTCACAGAATATTCTTCCGAAGAAAAATATCCGAAGTGCTCAATAAATGATGTTAAGTGGTTTTCCATATGAAAAATAAAATATGACAGGAAGTCTGGAACGCCGCAAACCGATCACGCATTCCTGCAGTTTCACCATCGATATGCGATTTTCACCCTAGGCGTATACTTTCAAAGCCGATTCGAAGCATTTTTTGGTCAAATGTTGTCACACGAACTACCACCTGGCCAAACATTGGTATCACCCTCAGATGTCACGATAGCTTGAGAAAGTAGGAATAATTCACCAGGCGTGGCGTGGAGAGCTGACTTTACCTCATTGTCGGTTTGCCTTCACTTTTCAGTGTAGGCAACACGAGCTCCCTCGCGGTCGAATAGTGGTATCATTCTCAGATGTACATTGCTACGCACTATTTTGGCGAGTGCTCATATAAAAAAATGAAACGTTAATGGAGATTTTTAAACTTTGTAATTACAACATTACAACAATGTTACAACAATTACAGCGTACAAAAAAATTCGATTACGTTTGATTATTTTTTTAAGAACTAACTAACACGTCCGTAAATTTTCCGAGAATATTTTCAATGGACCACTAGACAAGGTACGAATTTAAGCAATCTGATACATGTTTCTTAACCAGAATTTCACATAAAACACGACTCACACAACGAAAATTACTGAAACCAACTCCTAAGGAAGATATTAACGTTTTTATTTCACATTGGTTACGAGGAATTTGACCTGCCCGCTCACAAGAAACTCAAAGCTCTACGTGAGTCAAATCGCGCACTACAACGGTTTCAGCAAGCTCCTCAATCGAGCAATGTTCATTCCCCACCATGTGATGTTCAAACTATTAGCAATTTGCTACAGCTGAGCCAAAACGTCAAGATCGAGGTTGCCAGATTTTTATATCGCAGAGACTGTCATGATAACGTTTAGCGCGCGATGTAAATCACGTAGAGCATTGAGTTTTCATGAGCGGGAGGTTTGAATTCACGCATCAGGAAAAATTGAATATCTTCGTAAGGAGTTAATTTTGGTAATTTTTGTTGTGCGCATCGTGTTCTACGTGAAATTTTAGTTACAAAACATGTATCAGAATGTTGAAATTCGCACCTCGTCTAGTGGTCCATTGGTAAAAAAGATCCACAGAAACTATAAAGGAAAAATGGACCGCGATAAGCAGGAAGGAACCAGGCCACATTAACAATTACCAAATTTAACTGGGCACTTTAATATTTTACATGAAAATGGTCATGCGGATTTCTGAGCGAATCTCAGTGAATTTTTCGCACAGTACGAATGCAAATCCCTCAAAATTTTCAAAGAAATCCACACAAACGTTCTCTCACTGGAAAAAATAATACATTGGATCTAGAGTCCAGACTCTTGAAAACATTGACAAGAAAAAGTACTCTTGATTCAATCAGATTTAAGCTTAAATCGGAAGGAAATCCGCTCAAATTAAGAGGCTTGGTTCTTGATTTTAGCTTAAATCTGATTGAATCATGAGTCCTTTTTTTGGTTAATGTTTTCAAGAGTCTGGACTCAAGATCCAATGTGTTTTTTTCCCAGTGCTTATAAAAAATTAAAGTACCCAGTTAAATTTGCAATTAGCTGATGTGCTTTGGATCCTTTCTGCTTGACGTGGTCCGAAACGTTCGTTAATTTTTGGCAGAGGTCTCAAAGAGACCGACCGCGCACACCACCTAAATATTCCCGACTCGTCTCCTCGCTGACAGCGCCTCTAATAGCCAAGTCCTATCCGTTCGTCGATTAGCCAGGATCCTTCCCCGAAGTTTGACTTCTTCATTTTTGAACCCGACTTCCCGATCCTGGATTGAAGACATGGCGGCGCCGGTGGTCTCTCTCACCTGGTTCCCCTCGCGTGAATGACGTCTCTGCACCATCAATCAACGGTCTCCGATGAGTGGTGAGTGATGACTCACTCGACGCCCACCGCCCCTTCGGAGCCGACTTTTATTCCGGTAGCCGCAGAGCTCGTCGCTCGACTAATCATACCCAATCGCGTTCTGTCATTTTTAACTGGACGCATTTCTGCCGGACGGAATTATGTGCATTAAGACACGAGCCCTGATACCCGTAAGAGTATATGCATTACAGGGCTCACGTCACAATGCACATAGTTCAGTTTGATAGAAATACGTCCAAATAGTCCTTATTCCCTGCTTCATACTCTTTCACTCGTCCTTAATCATTATTCTCCAAGTATAGGTACTGCCATGCTAAGGAAAAACGCCGTATAAACCATTGTCAGTTGCCAAATTTCCTTTGATTAAATACGAATTTAGGAAAACTCAGGAAAAGTCCTAAATATTTTTCGTTCAATTTTTTTGAAAATTTTTCGTAATTAAATCTGAATTATCTGAAAATTTCGAGAAAAAATATTGATAGATCTCCCCGAAAAAAAAAACAATTTACTGGAGGAAATTTGGCAACTCTCAATGTTTATTCGGCGTTTTTTCGTAGCACGGCAGTATACGGTCATGCTAAGGAAAAACGCCTTATGAGCCGTCAGGAGATGCCGAATTTCCTTCGACAAATCACGAATTTTCAGGAAAATTTGTGAATATTTATCAGCAGTTTCTAAACTGGGCAATTATCAGATGAGTTGGGATAGAATGCTCTAATCTACTAAAATACATTTGTTTAAATGGAAAATGCTGCCATGTGACATCACAAGACTGTTTTGTCTCTCTTAGGCAAATTTTTTATTTGCTTGTTTTAGCGAAAGTTCTTCGATGATGAGAGTCAAGATTTCCTGAAAATTTCTGGCTTCAATAAAGATCTGAAGAATACGTGGGCTGAGGTTCCCTAAAATTTTTGTGTTTCCTCTGACATTTTTTTGTTTCCCTTAAATATTCCTATCTTCCCTAACTTTTGTAGGTAAAGTTATTTTCCTCGTTTTGCCGAAATTTCTAGCCCCGTAGATATCCTGGACCTCTTGTTTAATACAATCATCGATATGGTGCGTGTTTAAATATTCCTATGTTTAAGTCATATATTTATCTTTACTCACAGGATAGTTATTAGAAAAAATGAGATGCCATTAAGACAACTCAGAGGAGTAAAATGACCAGTTGTTCCACACCGTAAAGAAAAGAAGAGGGATAGGAAGGGATTGATGAAAAGATTAGAAAGAAAGAAGAAATTTCTTGAGTTGTGAATGAGGATTCAAACATAATCATCCTCTCATTCAAAATAGCAGGATATGTCTGTGCTTAGTTAGTTAGTTGGTTGGCAATGTCACCTTAGAATGTCCTTCCCATTCCCATAAGAAAGAAAAATTTCACAAACGCCATCATTTTTTGAGCTAAAATCTGAAAATTCACTATTTTGGGCCTCATCCATAAAGTTTCCCCACAATTTTTTGCGATCTACCTGGGTACCTATTGCTAATACTTCTTTTAGGAACAAAAAATTTCAGATAAAAGTGAATTGCATGAGCAAGATAGCTGTTGCAAGAACTTAAAGGTCAAAGAAATTCATGTAATGAAGAAGAGATTTTGACGCATATTATAAGATTTAAGAATTTTCTCCAGGTTTGTTTTTTGTTTTTTTTCTTTTTTTCTTTTTTTAAATCAAAATTAGAGACTTAACTTGCACAGTCTATTTCATTTCAAATTTGATAAGAAACACTATCTATGAAATTTTCTCATCATTTTATGCAAAAAAATATCCGAAGGTTCACGTTAGACATTAAAAGTTCCTTCAATTTCTCATAACGCAACCAGCGCTTCATATAGTTGTGAAAAATTGTCTCACCCTATGTGTGGCGTGTGGGAAAAATTACAATGTAATCATATTCCTGTATAAGATGAGAAATGTAAAGAGGTACGGTAAATGACGATGAGGAAGCAACGCAAATTAATGAGACAAGGGTGAGAGAAAAACAAGAGAATGAAGCCTGCAGTTATGTTCTTACCTCTGAGTCGATTTTGGCAAACTCTGCATCATCTTCATCAACTTCAAAATAGAGCTCATTGGAGGTGATTGAGACTGTCCCAGGTGCGACGAGACCTGGGGCAATGATTCGCGCGCGAGTACTAATATTAACGGGACCTGAGGACACAACAAACGAAAAATGTCTATTATTAAAAAGTTACGGGAACCAACGAAACATAGTTGATAGACAACTTTTAAACATTTGATAGTTGAAAGTTTGACAAGATACATTCTTTTAGGGGATGGAATAAGGGGGGAAAAATTTCGATTAAAACTTGAGAATGAAACCTACCGGTTAAATCGACGTCAATCTCTCGATCGTCAAGCATTAGCTCTGCGTCATCGAGGAGATCGTTGGATTGGGCTGACTGTTGAGGGTTTGTTGCTGCTAGTTGAGCATGTAATTCTTGTCTTGCCTGAAATTGACACAAAAAAGAAATTGAAAGGTGGAAATACTGATAATTCTATGTAATGGTAATTTTTAAGAGGAGAACACAAAAATTCAAGAAATAAAACCTTGCATTAGAAGAGATCCCATTAAATTAATCAAACTGCAAATCCATTGGTAGAGACACTTTTAGAAAGTTGAGTAAAAAAAGTGGGGGATGAGTTTTTTTTCTCATTCATTTAACAGAGAACGCTTTTCAGTATACCAAGGCATGCAATGCAAGCAATTGGGTACATTTTTGTGCCAATAGAGAGTAGTCTAATGCATTTTAATAAAAATTAAAAATTAAGAACACTTCACCTCATAGCTTTAGTTTCAGAATTGCACATTTCACACTACTATAACACCACATTGGTTTGACTTTTCCAGAAATTTTCTTTTTGTGCCAAAATGTCGGCAAGATACCCCATATACAGGGTGTCCCAAAAGTCCCTTCCACCCCCTCTAAAATTTTACCTAATTAATATTTTGAAACGAAACTTTGGGGATGTTCATCGATCAATATAAGCTACTTTTGGGGCCCTCCAAAATTTTCGGGGCCCCCCGTGGGGAGGGGCTGCGGACCCCAACTTTTTTTTTTCAAATGGCAACCCCTATCTTGTGATACCTCATTCGAAAGAACATAAAAAACTAAGAATTTTGGCGCAAACCACAAATCAATATCTTAATTTTTGACCGAGTTATGATAGGTCAAAGGTCAAATTTGACCTATTTTTAAAAAATCATAACTCCGGTTCAAATTATCGTAATGAAAAATAAAACGGGAATATTTACCACATTGTAAGCACTTTTAAGAAAAAATCACAGAAATTACTTCAAACTAATTTTAAGGGGGGTTTCGGACCCCCAAATACGCCAATTCAAGGGTCATTCAATTTTCCCGCGAAATAAGCCAATTTCCCCCAGATTTGCCTCCACATTAGTTCAGTAAGGTCAAAATCAGTTCAACATTACGTTGGCAAGTCCCCAAATTTCGGGAAAAGTTAAAAAAAACAAAATTTAAGGTAATTAAATTTGACCGTTTAAATATCATTTTTTTTAACTTTTCCCGAAATTTGGGGACTTGCCAACGTAATGTAGAACTGATTTTGACCTTACTGAGATAATGTGGAGGCAAATCCAGGGGAAATTGGCTTATTTCGCGGGAAAATTGAATGACCTTTGAATTGACGTATTTGGGGGTCCGAAACCCCCCTTAAAATTAGTTTGAAGTAATTTCTGTGATTTTTTCTTAAAAGTGCTTACAATGTGGTAAATATTCCCGTTTTATTTTTCATTACGATAATTTGAACCGGAGTTATGATTTTTTAAAAATAGGTCAAATTTGACCTTTGACCTATCATAACTCGGTCAAAAATTAAGATATTGATCTGCGGTTTGCTCCAAAATTCTTAGTTTTTTATGTTCTTTCGAATGAGGTATCACAAGATAGGGGTTGCTATTTGAAAAAAAAAAGTTGGGGTCCGCAGCCCCTCCCCACTGGGGGCCCCGAAAATTTTGGAGGGCCCCAAAAGTAGCTTATATTGATCGATGAACATCCCCAAAGTTTCGTTTCAAAATATTAATTAGGTAAAATTTTAGAGGGGGTGGAAGGGACTTTTGGGACACCCTGTATAATGGTACCAATAACTTAATTTTGAAATTTTTAGTACCATGGTACTTTCCCCTGGGGTCTGTTGCTAAAAATTCTTGCAAACTGAAGTTAAAGCCTGCTAAAATGCACAGATTTACTGAGAAAAGAAGTTTCGGCTAGAAGGAAATGTTCAAATTATGACTTTTTTAACCAAAGCTCACCTGTATGATGGCGTCCTCGGGACCTCCGTGCTCAAGGGCAGCATTCAATGTTGCTTCAGGATGTGAAGTTCCACGTGGATTATGAACGTATCTTTTCCTCCGCCTTGCATCATCCTCCCATGAATCAAGTTTCCAAAATTCTTGTTTTCTGAGATTAAAAAAACAAAAATGAATGGTCAAAAATTCTAGCAATAAAAGACAAGCGGTAAGTGAAAAAGACATCGTAGATTCTTAAGCAAAACTACTCTACAAAGCATTGATTAACTGCCGGTTTGTCATCAAATTTCCGATTTGACCAATTATGAAATTCAACTTTTGGAGTGTAAAATTATCAACAGACCAATTAATTTGTGAATATTATTCTGAAAATTAAAAGTTTTTACTGAAATCATAAAAACCTACATCATCTATGCAGTCCATACTTTTAGATCCTTCAAGGCCCATTTCATTCAGTGGGTGAGGATGAGAGGCTCTCAGCAAAAAATTAGCAAAAATGCGAATTGAAGAAGAGAAATGTAAAAAAGTGAATATACCTAGCTTGATCTGAGTAACCCCAGGCACCATGTTTATTGGATAGGATATTGCATACTTTTTCAAGCAGTCTATTTGCAATTACATTGTCACGTCTCCTTGCAGCAGTAATTAAGTGATCACACATTCTTTCCTCTTCTCTGCGATCGAGTAATGATTGAGCGCATGAAGACTGAAAAAAGACAAAAAATCCACGTGCCTGGTTAGAAATATACACATTTGGAAGGAAAAAGAGAAATGAAGACAAATTGAAAGTAAACTCATTAAAAATGCAAGAGCACGTGTTGAAAGTCAACATTGATTGTAAAAAGCCATTCATTAAGTAGGTAATTGTTTTGAAACTTCTGTTGCTGACAGAAAAAAGAAACAAGAGCATCATTAGAAATCGCAAACTTTAAGACATGCAAAAATATATTGCAATGCAACTCATTCATAAAAAAGAGGACTACACTTAAAAAGTATTTTCTAAAATCCTTACAGACTTAAAGCTCCTCATTAAAAGCTGGCATGCACAGTGAAAATGTGTCATGGGTCGAACATGACTTGTGCCACGAAGTCACTCTGTAAAGTTTTCACTAATTTTAGCATGTGCTTTATCAAAGTATATTTTTTTTGTTTTATAAGTAGGAAAATGTAGAAAAATTAGTTACCTCAAAATCTGCATGTTTCAAAACATCATCTGCTCTCATTCGATTCAGAATGAATTCAGCTTCATTAGCAACCCGCACGATGTGATCTTTCATTGCATGTGAGAGTAATCTGTAGAAAATACGAAGAGCAAAAAAATCGATGAGAAAGTCAGTCACTTAAATGAAAATTTATTATTCTTGTGACGAAAAAATGATGAGGTAAATTTTATTTTATGGAGAGAAAGAAGCTTCCTTGAAAAATGTTTCTTTCTAACCAGAGGGAAAAACATTGAATGAAAACCTTGAGAAGTAAATTTAATCACAAAACAGAATTTGGTTCTATTTTCCACTTTCTCTTTATATAAATTCAGATTTTGATCAAAATGTTGAAATAAAACTAATTGGAAATTTGAAGGGAAGACTTTAAAAAGTTTGGGAAAAAGGAAAAAAAAGCTGCGAATAAATAGCTTCTAGTTCTTTCGCATAATCTTTTGATCTCTAAGGACCAAAATAGACAAAATTGAATGACTAAAAATATACTTTAGCTTGACTTTCCTGCTTTTAAATCTATCACAGCGCTATTACTTTATGGGTAATGACCACAAAGAAACTGGTGAAAGTGCAGAAAAATACACTTACCGTCCTTCGTTAATGAGTTCAATAAACGCTAGACCAGCATGCTTTTGGAGTGAATTTTGCCATTCTTGGGAGCATAACAACATAACAAGCTCCACTACAGATTGGCTATTCTTAAAAGTAGTCAAACCTTCAAAAAAAGAGAAAAAAATAAAGTTAGTAGAGAATGTAGATTGATGGGGACGTTTTATAGGCATGGAATACACAATGGCACAGCAGATGAAAATATTGGCTCGACAACTATTGGATTTTAGAAGTTTAATAAATACGTTAATTTGGATAACAAAGAGATAGACTAATAATTATGAAATTAAAACATTGGTAAATCTTTAAAGTTTACATCCAATTATTGATTATTGAAGTTTTAGATGAAATGGGATGCTCAAAATTCTTCAGTTCCAGACAAAATATGATAGTTTACTTTTACGTAAAGAGCCCCTCACAAAACTGCATGGCACTGAACATGTGAATTTTTTTTTAACACCAACGTTTTTCTTCTACCACAACACACCTACCTCCTCTTTCTCACGCCAAAATCAACACTTTCAAATGTCTTAATTTCCTTTGAGATTTATTTGGATAGCATAATATTTGCGTAAATGTAGATTCTAGAATTACTGCTCAAAAAAAAAAAAAATAAGAATATGGCAGCTGAAAAGGGAACAAAATAACACGTGTTCATAACATGGTTTACTGAAAATTATTTCAAAAATTTGTTTGGTGTGACGCTCTAGACATCTCCCACTCGCTGAAACGCTGCCAAACAATGAGGTAGACTCCGACAACTCGATACATTCAATGATTTTTAGTGAGTTCCAAAAGTCTACTTTTGAAGTAGAGCCCTACATTATTGTTCAGTAGTCCTAACACTGGCCTGGCAAAAATGCTGGCAATAACACTGGCAAAAATATATTCGATAATTTAGAGGAGAAATGAGAAAAATACCTTTGCCTTCCATGAGAAGTTCCTGGCCATGAGATCCAACTAAAGTCTTAGATAAAAAAGGAGCAAAGTCAACCATTATTTCTCTAAGGAGAGGACAAACAGAACCAAGGGCAGTCTCTAATTTTTGCGTTAGAGAGGCTTCTCTTGATGGGGTGGGTGCTGCAGGGAGCGACAAAGATTTCATCGGGAGATCATCCGCCCGTGAGACGGGAGGAGCAGACTTGGATGACACTTCGTTTTGAGGCACTCGGACAACAGATATTTCAGCAGAGGGTTTTTCTCCTCGCTCATTAAGGTCACCATCAGGTGAGTTACCTAAAAAAAAAACAACCAAAAAAGTTAAGTTACGGGCTGAGTACATGAAAAAAAAATAAAATTTGATTCAAGCTAAGATAAGATTCTAGTTTTTACATTTATTCAGCAAAGAAAAATAATTTTAAAATTTAAATTACACCTTTAAAACAGCATAAAAAACTTGAGAATGTGAAGTAATGAAAAAAAAACCTCAATCTAGGTAATTTTATGGTGAATGTTAACGTGCTATGTTTGACTACGTCTCTTTCTTCGGTATTATATTTTGTCTGGCAGAAACTGAGTTCCACAAGAAATTTATTTCAGATGTTTCATTTTTCTCTTGAGCTTCGCATTTTACTGAAGAAAACTTTAAGTAATGCTTGAATTTTTTGAATTCTGACATATCGATGGTGAAACTCCCACAGCACGTATCTCGTTTGAAGTGTTTAAAACTCTCCGCTTCTATTTTATTTTCTTTGGAGAAGAACAAATCAACATCATTCCTTAAATTTTTTATAGAATTTACTTTGCATTGAGAGGAAAACTTAACGACGTTTTTCAGAATGGATGTTGAGTAGTTCTCCATTTAGGAAAAAAGGTTTAACAAAAAGTCTGCAACTTTGCAAACCGAGATACATTGTTTGGGAGTCTCCAATCAATGAGTATTACACAGAAAATACCACACAGAAAAGCGTTCTGGTCTCCTTTTAAAAGAGCCGATGTTGGAGGATAAGAATGAACAATCTTAGACGATGGTTATGAATATTTTGATAAAAACTAGAGCATCATTCTTTAAAAAATTTCATAAAATTGAATTTCTATAAGTAAGTAAAGATGTTTTTTCATGTGCTAGTAGAGATAGATTGGATGTAATTATGCTATAACAAAATGTGTGAAAATGAATCAAATGAAATAGAACTGACTATGTGCAAGTAGTTTGCATGTTATGTAGTTTCTTTTTATTTTGTTGATTTTCACATAGTTCCTTTCAGCATAAATATGTTCAATTGGGTGTGCTTAACGAATGTTGCACGGTTACAGATTCAGCAGGATTTTATTTTTTTCAACAATTTAGATTGGGCTAAATTATGAACATACTTGTATTGTTGATGTTTCCATTCAAACTGACACTATCTTCATTGAGGTTGACATTCGTCCAGGCTGAATCGTTGGCGGGCGGAATGTGAACCGGTTTGACATCATTCTCATTCGTAGCATTACTATCTGTTTCACTTGTGGGTTGGGAGGCAACGGACAGAACTTCCTCTGAAGCGGCACTCTGTTAAAAGTGAGGAAAAAAAGAAAAGTTATTTGAATGGAATTTAACTTTTGATTCGGGCTTTTTCTTTCATCTGATTTTAATTGTAGCATTTGTAGAAGTTTTTGGTTGTTCAGAATTTGAAAAAACGCTTTGGGGTAGAAAAAGAAATAGCCTCTAAAGTTGCAATGAAGTAAGACTACAAAATTTTTATGGGAAGATATAAATAAAGATACCCAATTAATCCTGCAAGAAAGATACTCCTTTAGGTATTTTTTCCTTAAACATTTTCTGAGCAGAAGTTCCCATGTCCCCAATCAAACTAACTTTAAGAGAAATGCGATAAAGAATTAAAAACTTCCAAAAATTGTATGAGAAAAAGGGGGAAAAAGGGGGAGATCAAAGGACAATACGCAAACTAAATAGGTTATTTGCAATGGTCTTGCAGAATTTTGCTTCAATGATCATATTTGTAAATCAGCTACTAATGGTGAGAACAGTCAAACGCTAATTTTATTGATTGGACAACAACGGACATATTGCCCTGATGAAAATGTAGTGGTTGCCGTTATCCACCTTAGCAGAGCACATTGCAACTCCTTTTACCTTAAACCCATCATATACGTGAGGCAATCAGGAAAAATCTGTGCATCTCTGATAAACAAAACCAAATTCAAAAATACCGAAAAATTCAATACTTTTCAAAATCAAAAAAGAAATAAAGGTGAAAGAAACCACGGTATGCACAGTAATGAACAGGTTATATCAGACAACTTGATTATGGAACGGCAGTATTCTCAACATATAATTGCATGTGAAAACTTAAAACTGTGGTAGATATTATTACTAATTTTTTTGTTTACAGATTTATAAGTATTGGACTGTCAAAATTCAGTCGAATATTTTAACAATTTTGAAGGGAGAATAAAAGTAGATCGGTGTTTCTGGGAAAAAAAAACTTTGATATGTGCTATGACACGAAACATCTAGACAGGACTTGAAAAAATGAACATTGTTTCCAGAAAAACATTATTCTAGGAGAAAGAATAACCAAATACAACTGACACATGGGAATAAGGATTTTGGAAGGACAATGATACACCAAATCACTTTTCAAAATTAGTAAGATGGCCATGCTTATGTGAAAGAGACAGTAAGAGTATTACCTTATTTGTGAGGACATGCCTGTGGTTGTGAGGATATCCCTGCGTATTAGCATTGTGATCATCCAATTCATAAGTATGAGTACCATTCTGCACCAAAGTTAAGTGAAGTGTTAGTGTCTAAGTTTATATTAAATCTTGCATGCAAGCGAGAAAGATCTTGAGCAAGAAAAGCATTAGAGCTCCTTGAGATCCAGGACAGTTTTTCGAGCATTATGAGTCCATAAGTGTATGACCCTCTAAAATGTACCTCCCAAAGCATTACTTCATACTCTGATTTCCTGAGGTGATAGTTCATGCTTGCATTCTTACTAGGTAACTTTTTGATGGCTAAAACCTTAAAATACGTCCTGCGGTTTGTATACATTTTTCAACTTTACGTTTTCATGCAGGAAAATAATCACCATCTCCTTGTGAAACCTCTTCAAACTATCTTTCTTCGGTAAAAAATATTATGTTGACATACGGAGCAAATGAATTAGTTGGTAGCCTTTAAGGAAAATAAAAAAGGGAAAAATTTTAAGGCAGGGGATTGAAATTAGTGTTTTCAAATTTTAGCCATCAATTTACCATCTCAACATCAAAAATATCATTACGTTGTTACACAAATTACTTGCAAGCCCATTGAAACTGCTGCATACAGTTCTTGAAATTTCAAGGGTCAAAACCTAACAACCCATGTACATGCACCTGTTAATAGAATTCCCAGTCATAATAAGATACCTACCTATCAGGAAAATTACTGCTTAATCTTATTTTTAAAATAGTGAAGAATGCAATTAAAGTAGAAAGAAATTGACTAGAGAAGATTGATGGAGCAGAAAAAGTCAACAATATGACTGAGCAGATAATTACGCATTCAATTTTTTGGAGAAACATGAGAACAGACACTATTCACCTCTACCACCACTACCAATAGAGGAAAAAAAGAAACTTGTACCATGAGAGAGAAAAAATACCTTCAATGAGGGTGAGGCAAGGCCACTAATTTGGTTCTCGGTTAAAACTGATGAATGGTTTTCATCAACAACAATCACATCATAGTCTCCATCTTCTAGAAAAGAACAAAGGAAAACAATACACAGATGAGAAAAAGATCATTTTTGACAGCACTCAAAAGTAAGAAGTGAGAGCTAATAACGATTCAACATGAGTTCTACAGTACCGCTCTGTAATAAAATGCGTGACGCTTATTGATAAAAGATATTTTCATACTAAGCAGAATGAATATTGTACTTTGTGGAGTAATGAGAATATCAACCTGGAAACTGCAAAAATGCGTATCTTGGTTGCGGTGGTTTGAAATCTATGTTTCTATTTTATCATGTTATATTGTATTGTATCATGTTCTGTTACTGAAGTAAATTCAGACGAAGAAAAGGGGGAAAAATTATACAATTTTTTTAGAATTAGAGTAAGAAAATATTCAGTAAAAGCTGGCAAGCACAGCTGCTACAACCATGTTATACATGAACTGATAGAATTGCGACATATTTCAAGATCATGCCCCCATTGCTGGTCATGGTTCCTTTAAAGAACTAGATCATGCTTGATATCTCAAAATTCTCTGATGGCTTGGGGCCTTTTCTTTTATTGAGGCATCAGTTTTGGACTGGATTTGAATGCTTGTTGGCAAAATCACTGACATTCTTTTCTTTTTTTGACCGAATTTGAACACTTGTTGGCAAAGTCACCGACATTCTGTCTAAACAACTGGTGCTTCGAATTGTAATTCTGCTTATTTTTTTTTATTAGCTAAACAAGAACTAAAATGAAAAAAACCTGCCCTAAAAACTACAGCACAAACAAAAATCATCACAAATCTCAATACGTGACATCAAAATGGTGAAAGTCTAGCTGAACATATTTGTGATCACAGTGCAAAAAGACAGAGAAAAAATAAAAGTCATTGTGAATTACTCTTTCCACCAGATACTTCTACTGTGAAATAAACATTAAAAAGCTCTGAACATGTTTCCACATCAACGTTTCATGCAGAATATGTTGAACACATTGAAAATTGTGATAATCAACTTAATACAGCGATCAGCATTTTTCGATAACATTTAGATCGGTCCTTCCAAGTGTCCTGCTCGCCCGAAAAACTGAAACTACATATCATGTAACAAACAAATAGTTCCACTTCAGAGTTGCTGTCTGCAAGTTTTTTGCCAGGTTTCTACTGAAGAGTCTCTTGCATCAGAGTGATGGCCTAGCAGGTGCTTCTACCTATATTTCGAAGAGAGATGCATCGGACTGAGGATAGGCAATCGGCCTGAGACTAGTCTCCAAGTGTTCTTTCAAGATGAGAGACGTTAACCTCCCTTGTTTTCAATTTTTGAAAGCTACAATTGTAGTACAGGCAGGTTTCCTTTTAGCTGCATGCTTTTTTCACCAAGTTGATGCAAGTTGGTGTTCCAGCGAATATGGACTGCTGTTTGCAATAGGTACTGCAGCGATTTTATTTGATTCCAAAAAAGTTGGTCTTCACAAATTCATTTTTCTTTACTGTGTGGTAGGTATGTACTTAAGATCTTTTTTGAAAAACTATAGCGCACTGGGAAACTCATTTTACGGTAGAGCTTATTGGAATTATTTTCATCCCCAATTTTACCTCAGTAGTCTTAGAATGTTGGCAGGATTGAGGCTTGACTTAACGAACAAGTCCACCTTGTTCTAGGTGGAATTTTGATACACATATTTTAATGCATAATTTTTAATCTTGTCAATCGGTCTATCATCCAAACTGAATGATTTATCGTTGCATGCAGGAGTGATGCTGATACAACAAGATGCAAGGACAAAGAAAAAGAAGGAGGCTAATTGGATTGATAGAAGAAGAAAAAATTCAAAATTAGAATAATCTACCAACTGGCAACTCATAATTGTAATTTTCTTTTCATGTCAATAAAATGTGACAGCGAGAATCACTTGAAAGATACATAGAGATTCAGGCTGCATTAATTTCTTTTTTGAAACATGGAAGTTACAACTTTTCATTGATAAAAACCTTTCCTTAATATCTCAAACATAGAATTCAAACATTATAAAAGGTCTACTGATAGAGAAGAATTACATAGCCTTATCGAAGAGATAGTATTGACAGAGGTTCGACAGATGTTTAGAGAGTTATCTGGTTTCAATCCTGTAATAGTTTTCAGGAATTTTTCGCAAAAGCTTCAATTCACATAAAATAAAGCTTTCTGGTGTGATTACCTTTTTAAAATTATTCAATTTATTTTAGGGTTTTAAAATGCCAGGAAAGAGGGAACAAAACTGGCAAGTTCTTGTCTATCGTAAATAAAACGAGTTCCGTTCCAACAGATTTGGATAGTTAGGGTTCTCTATATTATTAACTTGGAGGGAACACACTATACCTAATCTGAATTTTTAGGACTACACTTTTTCAGCAGAAAAAAAAAAAAAAAAAAAAAAAAAAAACCTGGAAGATATCTAAGGAAAAGCCAATGATAAAATGTGATTCAACAAAAAAACTCTACTAGGATCATGTCATAACTAACACGGCAAATCCAAACAAGACAACACGAAAAATTGATTCCAAGGTACCTTGTTTGGGAAATCGAGAGTATGGATGCTTATTAATAATATTTCTTTGATACAAATGGTGATGAGTATTGGGGTGAGGCAACGAGTTTGGGTGAGAATTTGGGAGGAACTGGGGGTAAACGTGGTGCGACCACTGAGGAAACAGGGGCCTCCCTCCTCCACCACCAGAGATCATGTCTTCGTTGCGCAAGGAAGCAGAGAGGAAAAGAAACAAAAAATTATGTTCTACCATACATATTTTGACATTGTACAATTTCAAAGACAAATTTTATTTCATTTCTATTCAGACAGCAAGACGAATATCGTGAATATTTTCAGCTCCCAATTTTTCACACTCACTCCAACCACGCTCTCTAAGATATTTCAGTTATGGGATGGAAAACCGTTGTTTTTGACAAGAAGTTACTCCATATTCATTCATGGAATGAAAAAAATTTTCATTCTTCCGGTAGAAAATCTACAGAAAAGGTACAACAAAATGAACGATGAATTGGGTATTGACAAGAAGCGACATAGAATTGTAACAGGGCCTGGATGAGTGTCAATACAAAAACATTATTAGTAAGCAAACAGGGAAAAAACTTTACAAAGAAAATTGGGGAGCAGCTCCTTTGGTTTGAAAAAAATTGCAACTTACGGAGTGAATAGTCGGGAAAATATTCTCAGTTCTTATTTGTAAGTGAAGAAATACTTAAGTCACAAAATCACACCTTAGTAACGCAATTCCTCACGTAAATAGAGTAAGGTATAAACTATGTTAGTACAAAACAATTTTTTAAATCATTCTGACTGATAAAGTGTCACAGAGGTACAAAATATTTTGGGCAAGGGTGCGACTGGGCCACATTCAACTTTCTAATGAAGTATGAATTTGAACCTTCCTAAGAATGATAAATTTATATTTTTCAATGAAAAAACAGTGATTATCTAGACTTTTAAGTTATTTCTAGAATCTCAACTTGCTTTCTGCCTCAGTTTCACTCCAATATTTTTCTTGACCTGAATGATCATTTTTTACACAGCTGCTGGTATGATAAAAGTGCAACAAGATCAAACAAACATCCCGTGACCAACAGAAAATTATTTTGAGCTCCGAGACTGTCCATAAATTACGTGACACTTATGAGGGTGAATGGATGCCTCCACTATTAATGCATGGAAGAGTGCTCAGGAAAGCATTACTTCATAAAATTTTTACATAATATCATGCATTTTTTGACTAATTTGAGGAGGAACTAAAGATTACTACTCAGTGTCTTATTTCTCAACTAATCATTCATTTATTCCATTCCTTACGGCAGGTCAGGCTGATTCAACTATTTTAAACGCTTCTAATGGCATCTTAGGAAAGCTAAAAGTGTCAGAGTTAGTATAGTAGAGCATTAAAGAAAGAGAATGGGTGTGAAAAAACTGTGGATCAAGCATTACGTAATTTATGGCCCTTCTGTCGTGAAGAAATGGTGTTGACAATTTTAGAGATGAATGCTCCATATTTGAATTGATGACATGAGTTAGACACAAAAATGCATCAAATAATAAAAAGTTATGGTGGAATTGCTCTATTCAGCTTTTGAAAAGCACTCTTGAATCAACATGCTGTAATCTCACCTGGTGGACTATCTCCGACATGGTGTGTGCCATTATGTCTAATATTTGATGGTAAAGGTGGCGTTGGTGTCCTAGTTATGACAGGTGGTTCCAGTATGTCTCTGTACTTAGAAACCATCAGCACTGATATAAAGTAAACAATTGCTAAGGACAAAAATTGAGCTTGCTTCGTTTCTTCCTGAAAATATAAAAAACAAAATTCATGATAAAAAAATAGAAATTACAGAGACATAGTTTGAATAAAAGGTACGAGGGTACCAGCATTTCAGAAAGAAGATTTCAAAAATTGGGATAATAAAAAGAGCCTTGTTAAAAATGGGTCGAAATTCGCCCCTTTTTAGGCCCTCGATTTTGCAAACGGGAATTGCGCCAAATTGTTGCATATGATGCCCTAAGTCTCTGGTAAAAATTTCAGCTTGAGTTGAAAAGTGGTTTCGGAGATACGGGGGGGTGAAGTGGGGGAGATGAGCGGCTGGCGTGCGCTATTTCCGCGGCTGTTCCTCGCCAAATCTTCGTTTTTATGTCACCCGTTACATGTTTTTCTATGTAATTTTTCGCGAACTTTCCATTTCTGGCCTTAAAAATTACTTACAACCACTTTTCAAGGCGCTAGGGGGTAAAAATAGGGGTTGAACGGCCAGCGGCGCGCTTTTTCTTTGGCTGTTTCCCTAAGATTTATTCGTTCCGTATATTTTCACGTTTTCTCAGTGAGCCTCACACCTCGCAAGAGAATATACGCATGATTTCATCCGAACATAAATGTTTACACGCCTAAATGATATGCAAAGACGAGCGTTCGTAGAGGGGAGATGGTAGAATAATGGCAGAATCATCAAGTAAAGATTTAAAGCTTTCATNCATCAAATAATAAAAAGTTATGGTGGAGTTGCTCTATTCAGCTTTTGAAAAGCACTCTTGAATCAACATGCTGTAATCTCACCTGGTGGACTATCTCCGACATGGTGTGTGCCATTATGTCTAATATTTGATGGTAAAGGCGGCGTTGGTGTCCTAGTTATGACAGGTGGTTCCAGTATGTCTCTGTACTTAGAAACCATCAGCACTGATATAAAGTAAACAATTGCTAAGGACAAAAATTGAGCTTGCTTCGTTTCTTCCTGAAAATATAAAAAACAAAATTCATGATAAAAAAATAGAAATTACAGAGACATAGTTTGAATAAAAGGTACGAGGGTACGAGCATTTCAGAAAGAAGATTTCAAAAATTGGGATAAGAAAAATTTGGAGAAACAATTGTTTTGAACAAAAACTGTTTTGAGTGCACAGTATAAATGTTGTAGACTTAATTATCTAGAAAAAAACTTGGTGCACACGCTATACCCTGTGCAACGAGTACTTTCAGCAGATGAAGAGTAAGAGGGGTCAGCTGCTTCAGTTTTTGTATTGTGAAAGTCATAAAATCCGGTTCTGTTTCAACTTTTATCTACTAAAAAATAACCTTTCTTCAAACCTGGAGGGTGATGAAAAGAATCCCTGTTCCATTCCAGATTCTTGCATGAGAGAAAGGAAATGTCTGAACGACTGGTATCCTAGATTTTATTGTTTTTCTGTTTGCCTTAACTCATGCCACCCTACTAAATTGAATATAGCAAACTAAAAATATGTGTTCAATAGTTGCACTATCATAGCTAACTAATTGTTTTCTTTTAATCTGAAGGAAAATTAATGATTTTGAGATACACAAATTCATGGAAAATTACGATGAAAAAGTTTGACTTACAACATCTCTGTAGACAACAGCTCTTAGGCGATTGACATCCATATCTTGAAGTAATTTTTCTGGATCTTTGACTGGGCCAGTTGGACTTGTGCCATTATCTATGGCACTTTTTGGTGAAACCTGAACTCCTCTAATTAGAGAATGCACTAATCCTGATCGACTGCCATTGTTCTGAGCTCGGAGACGCTCTTTACATTCAAGGCAATTCCGCACAGCGCAAGTGCAAACCTAGTTGTAGAAACAAAATAAAGCAGTCATTAGAAAAAAAATTTATGGAATATTAAGAATTTACAAATACTTTTCAAGCATAATCCACTTCCAAAGATGTGTGGATAGAAACAAGGATTGGATATTTGAGGTCCTACGGGTAAAAATTACAGGAGTCCTATCAATCCTAATTCAATCATTCATCCCTTTTGCTTAAAAGTCTTCAATAATATTGATACATTTTGAATAAGATCCAAGATCATCGTACAAACACAAAATATTAAAAATGCCAATGAGAATTGTACAAAAAAAAAATTTGTGACAAATTTTTCAGATCTGACCGACTCATCTGGATGAATCACCAAACCTCTCACAGGACTCATCACTTCATCTTTGGTATAAAGGCAGAAAAGTAGTAATATGAGAATAGTCACTTCATTTTCTACATACAAATAACTATATCTGCCCTTATAAATAATTCATTTCCTTTCAAAAAATTGTTGATAACTTACCAAACGAAGGCACTGTCTGAGTATGCCACCATTGGACATATTCTTTTCTATTTCTAGCTCACTGAAATTCAATGAGCTTGCAAAAACAAGAACGTCTGCCAAATTGACAAGCCGCTGCAAAAAGGACACAGCAATTTCAATAGGCATGCCTTGAGTTGGATCCATTACGTCTAGTTCACTGCTAGGAGACGTAGCGCTTGCTAACAGCGGCAGCAAGCCTCCGCAGGCGATGATCAAATTATCTGCAAGTTGTGATATCAAATGGACGGTATTCACAACAAATATTGCGTTTTCAGCATTGTTAACAAAGTCTAGGACGGATTTTGTGGAGTGACTTCTCCAAACTTGAATGTCAGTTTCAAGTGAGAATAAGACGTCTGAAAGTAAGCGTTGATGGATGTATGACCACTTGAATTCCGGAATTCTGAACGGAGGTCGTGAGGGCCCAGGGCTGAACATTGGACGGTCTGCACTTTCTCCACTGCCAAAACTGTTCTCAGGACTTTTTGATGACTTTGTATCTGGAAAAGATAAAGTCAATTGTAAAGAAGAATATCAAAAAATGAGATCAATCAGATATTCTTACACAATGTATGGAAGACCGATTGTAGGGTGTTCTCAAAATGTGTTTATGATTAAACCCGTTTCGTTTCATAACAGTTGTCATCGTCATTTGTCCTAACAATACATGTCTAGAATAAACTAGAACTTAAACTGTGATTTAAACAGCATTCATTAAGAGGGAACCAATGTCTGTGGCGCTTTAAGGAAAGGACAGATTACCTCCACTAATTTCAGTTCAGTTTCTGATTTCCATATGAACATTTTTTTTTTATTTAAACAGAAACGCAACTATGTCACATTTTGGAAAAAGAATGAATTTCTAGTAGTTTTGAATTCAACTGGTTGTGCACTGGGCTCTGTCAAACATTAAAAAACCAGGTAAAGTATTTTTAACGTAAAAACAATTGTTAAATTTTGTCTTATGATAGGATAAAACCTTGAACTTCTTTTTCTGCATTCAAACTTGATGCGTTAATGTTCAACTTGCTTGATTTCAAAGTCTGAAAAGATGCAAGAATAAGTTCTCCACAGAGACTAAAAAAGATTGATGAAATCAAACTTACCACTAAATTGCTGAGGATCAACTTGCGTGGAGCTGTTGAACACCGATTTTACATTTTCTTCCGGAATGCTGGGTGCTTCTTCTTGAGCAACAGATTCACTACTAGCAGGAGCAATTTCACTTGCTTCATTTTCTATCACATCTCTCTTTTCACAACCATCATTGGACGTTTCAATATTACTATCAGGGGACGGAGAAGACACAGGTTTGGTTTCTTCACTATTTACAATTGTTGAGCAGGTTTCAATATTTTCTTCACTTTCTGCAATTTTTTCTGAGCTAAGTTCAACCTCAGAACTTTTGGCACTTGAATTAAAATTATTTTCTTCTTCATCATTTCCTTGAGGTGCTTCACTTTCTTCCTCATTTGAGGGCTTTCCTTCTGCTTCCGAAACTTTTTCTCCAGACAGTTCATTTTTATCGGTAGACAACTCATCTTTCTTACTGGATTCTGCGGCTTCTTTGTTCTCATCTGCAGACTCATTATCTTCATCTTTAGAGTCGGCCGCTTTCTCGTCAGACTCTCTATCATCCTCTGCAGATTCCATTGAGACTTCAGCCATTAAAATAGCAGGTTGATCAGTTCGTTCTTCGCTTTCATTTTCATCCTCATCTCCAGAGGCTTTTCCACTTCTTTCGTCAGTCGTGAGCAACTGATCCTCCGTAGACTCAAAATTCTGCAAGGATAATTTTTGAACGGCAGAGTCAATAATTTTCATGGAGCTATCTTTCTCCGCATTTTCAGTGGGCGTCAGAAATATCTCTGAATTATCACTATCAATGATCTCTCGCTCAATTACTTGGATTGTGACTGGCTTGAGAGTGTCAGTTGATGAGATATTTTCGGGTACTTTGGCACTGGATTCCATGTCATTTTGATTTTCGTCGGGTAGAATCTCACCTGGGATTGGACTCGACTCTGTTGTTGCGACTGGTAAGTCATCATCAACAACAGCTTCGTTTGAGCTGAGATTATCTAGTGTTACGGGCGTTTCGGACTTTTCTAGTGTTTCAGTTAAATCACTTTTGCTAGAGTTTAAATTATTGTCTGAACTATTCTTTGTGTTTTCTACTTCATCTGTAGATGTATCGTCCATCTGAGTATCCATTTCTTCTGAATCGTGGATAATGTTGGCAAATAATGGACTGGCACTTCGGACCGGGGGTATGGTGATATTCGATTCTTCTTCAATTGATTTGGTTCGAATTTTTGCAGGTACAGAACTATCTTCCTCCATTTCAATGTACTTTGCTGCGTGCCTTTCAGTTTCTTTTCCTTCCGAAGTTTCATCATCCTCCCTCTCTGAATCGGAGTCCTGAAACCAAGCGCATTGATTTATTACTCCGAGCAAAGCATTATAGCAAAAGAATATCTGCTGGAGGTAAGAATATCGCAACAATTGTGACAAGAACATTTTCATTTCATTCAAGCACATTAAAAAAGCACGCTGAGTAAATTTTTCAGAGTAAAAAAAACTCGTTGATACTATAACTACTTCAAGATATATAAATTGAGATACAAGCTCTTTTAGGCAAAAATGAATAATGTTGTTAGTGTAACTTTACATCCTTTGATTTGCTTGAAAAAAGAGCTTGATTCAAGACAGAACTTTTACAACGATAGAAACGTAAAAATTAAGGTATAATATTAAATGCATCAGCATCAAAATTTCATGTGTAAAAAACCAAGAAGCAGGTTTTACAACAACGCTAGAAAATACCCTTTCTTCACTGTCCGCAGAGAAAGATTCCAGAATACTGACAGCTCAAATAATTTTGATTCTTAGAAAAAAGCATTAGGTGATGTTTAAGCTTTGACAATGGTTGAGTTTCATTTTAAGATAAAAAATTGATCTATATTATGAATTTTCAAACTGGATCACTTTCAACGATCGAAAGAAAACTTTGACTACGTTTTTCTCAAATCATAATTTTATCATAATTTTTTTATACGGGCCCTTTTTACTGGATAGCTCCTTAATTTATCCATAAAAACAATGAAAACAGGCTCTGCTTGCCAAAACAAGATTGAAATGCCAAAGGGTTAGCAAACACACCTGATTACAGTGTTGCACAGCTGCCGCTTGGCGTTCCCAACCAGATATTGTGCTGATAGGTCGCTGCTGTCTCACATGAGGGTCTGTTATGTTATCACTACGATGCCTCTCATAATGTTCATACATCTGAGCAAATTGCAACTTAAACTCTTCGTAGGAGACCTGAAAGTTAAGAAAAGAAGTGAGGTAAAGATCAGTACTAATGGAAGTTTAAGCTCACTTTTTCATAATCTTCGATTCAACTGGAGCATTTCAAGGTGGTTGATCACTGCGCTCAGAAATCAGAAATAAATTATCTTATGAAAAATTGCTTACTCATGATTAGGATCCTGCAGAAAATTTCTCTGCATTCGAATTTCAGCCAGCTTCAAGTTTCGAAATTTATGATGAAATGTAATATTTCAATGGTTTACGACTGGTGACATTTTTATGATGAAATGTAATATTTCAATGGTTTACGACTGGTGACATTACCGTTTCTTGCACTGAAAAACTTTTGGACTTAAACAAACAAATAACTTACCTTTGAGTGAACTATCGCAAGAGTATCTACCCACACTCTCCAACCGCCATACTCGTACTTGATAGCGTGATGAAGGAGCATTCGAAAAAGACTGTAAACCATTTCTGATGTCTTTTGTTCTTCAGAATTTTTGGGATGAATGTAGGCCATTGCAATGAGCCATTCCTGTTGAAACGATTCATCAGAATTAGAAATTAGATTAAGTAGCAATTGATCAGTTGTGCGAGCCCAAAAAATCCATTATTTCTTTTTGCACAAAAACTTAGTTAGCACTAACCCAGTTAGAAATATCATCCACCTTTTTTCAGACAAATAATATTTCGGTTCATGCTGATCATAAAAATTTGACGTTAGGAAATTTTATTCATACAGTAAACCGGGGTGAATAAAGTTTTTCAGCTCCCTTGATGCGAGTATTCTACTGGAAAAAGCAAAGCTCCGCAAAATTACAAACTCATTTGTGTGTCTATCAGCAAAGGAACAAATTTTATTGTCGACTTAAACATACCGAAAACTACAAGACTAAGAACAGTATGCTGTTGAGGTAATAAATCTCCAATAATCTCAGACCAGAGATCTCTCAAACTTAGAGTATCTAAGATACTATCGGATATTAAACCTCAATTGAATTCTCCAGAAATATACTTCCGACTGAAAACGAGGTGACAAATACATTTTTTGTTGTAACTTTCAACTTTAAATGTGATCTTTGTCACACTCAAGCGTAAGACTCTGATTCCTTAAGACAAGAGGTAAGAATGGAAAGCCTGATTTTTGGCCGAGAATATTTTAGTAATGACAAAAATAATATCAAACTTTGAAAATAGATTTAGATTTTCTGCGATTCCAGAGATTTTTCTGCCTATATAAAGTTGTCCTCATTTTGATGACTAATATCTACTCACCTGCCAAACAGACATCTGAAGCACAGTCCGACGGTTCTCACGATTATTATTGCACAAAAGTGTCATGTCCGATAAAAATAACTTTTTCACTTCCAGTAATTGATCTGATTGTTTTGATTGTCTGATTAAGGTTGCAACAACTTTTAAAATCACTAGAACAACAAAGATAAAATGTATTAGGACAAAAGTACATAACATGTGATAATAAAGTACATTTTTCAGATTGTTTACATTTTTAAGCTTAGAATTGAGGTGTCATGTGACTAGCTTTGCACTTCTTACAGACTAAAATAGGAAAATAAGAAGGATTTATTCAGCTGAAGTGTGAGATAATGAAGTTCTTCCCTCTCATTTAGAAATTTAGGCATAAGATGAAAAATGTTCTCTATGCATTGAAAACTTGTATCAAATAAGTCTAGCATCTGCCCAGTCTGTGACGGAGTTGTAACTTCCTTAAGAGTCAGACTTACTTGGATTTTCTAGCCTAAAATGAGGTTCAGGTTCTGGATGCCGAGTGTATAAGATTTGTTGACTAATGTGCTCGGTCATAATCTGTAACAGAGAAATAAAAATTATTTACTCCCAATTCAAATACCTAATATTACTTACTAGCAAAAGGTAAAACTCACGAACATAGCTCTAATTTTCCAGAGATTCATTAATTAGGTATTGATTTATTTATTTTATTTAACATTTCTTTTATAATTGAGAGGAAAATTTTCTCTTAGTCGGTTATTTAGGTACCGAGAAACGCCAATTAATTAAAATTGCATTGATTCATGTGGAATATATATAAACGAAAAACAAAGAAGTCAAGTCAGAGCAAAGCAACACACGCATTATTTATGATAACACGTTAAGGAATACAAAGTTTCCACAATTTCTTCATTTTCCAATCCCTGCCTTCCTCCTGATTTTTTTTGCTTTTCTCTGACTTGAAAATTTTTGAAGTCCCTGACTTTCTCTGACTTACGATCAAAACTTTCATTCAGATTTTTTTTTCTTTTGATTCGGTACACTGATTTTAGTTCAACTATGGACAAAACCTCCACTTCCAGGGTTCCAATTCAAGAAAAAGGCATCCGGTAGTTGATTGAGTTCTCTCAAATGGTACCAGTTGAAGTTGCTGAACTGACACACTACTCACAAGAGTCCCAGAATTTTCCTACGAATTTCCTAGCTATTCGCAGTCACTGAAAATTTCCGGACTTTCCAGGTTTTTCAGACCCCTGCAGACCCTGAGAATATGACAAAATATGATAATTCTCTAGACCTTTATGGTAAGTTACTTTTCGATTGCACAGCCATAAATAAAAAGAAATAAAATACAAATGTTGGGGGTCCTTCATCAAACCAGCAAATAGTGGGTGAAGTATATGTCCATTTTACAAGTTCAAAGGGTTAGTTTTAACCTAATGAAAAAAATTAGCGATTACTTTAAATGTGTAAACAATAACAGATAAAGAATTACTTACCTCATATAAGACATTATAGGTTGGTAGGGTTAAAGTTTCTTCATTTAATAGTAATCGCTCAGCTAGCAGAGTGTATAAATTGTACGGGCTCATGACGTCATATTTGCGCCTGCAATGATCAATGAACATTAAAATGAGCTATGACTCTCAGTAAAATTTTAAATTTTTATAAGTAAGTAAATAAATTACTAAATTAGTAAGTGAGGGCTATGCTAAAGCTCCTTCGGAATTGTCAAAAACTTAATTTTTTGCTCCTCAGGACAGAATATTTCCTTCGGATATGGATCGATAAATTGATTATAATCAATGCACGGCTGAAATTACAAAAAATGCCGGAAAAAAATACTGCTGTGTCCTCTGAGGAGGTATGAAGTTATTAGGCCTTACATTGTCAGAAAATATTACATCAATAACTAACTTATAAAACCACTTATATCCACTGTGGTATTTCAAAATTTCCACTCCCATTTAATTTCTTTAAAGAGAAACAAAGGAACTTTATAGCTTGAAATTTCTACAGAATGTTCTGCTTACAGAGAAGAAAAATCAAGGGAGTTTTCAAGAAATTACGTAGACTAGTTTTCCAAAGAAAAAATAGAGTATGATAAGAAATCTGAAAAATCGCCAACGGAGATATATGCGTGGTTTTGCACTTTGACTATCAACATGGAGTCTTATCAATGCTTGATGTGATTTATCACGCAATGGCTTGGATCAAAAATTGGAGAAAAAGATCAAGGATATTTAAATAATCCTTTTGGCCATACAAACAAATTATATGCTTGCATACACATTCTATATGTACTGTACTAATAGAAACAATAGTTCAAAAGATAAAACTCTGTATCAGGTTTCTTACTTGTGCGTGCTTCTAGAAAGGAAAAATCCCAGGAGTTTCAATGCCTGTAATCTAATGAGTTGACTAGAGGAAACAAGAAGCTTGAATATACATCTCACTCCTTGTTTAGCATCGAAAGCAGGTACCATTGCGGCGGGAAATTCACACATGAGAGAAATTAAAGTTTGAACCACATCGTGCAGATTTTCATCTTCTCGAACTGCGAATAAAAGAGAGACAATTGTAAGTCGAGGGATGGTTCAGGTTTTAAAATCAGCCAGACAGGTCACAAAAGCACTCAATTCATGAAGCCACCTCTACAAGCTTAACGTTTCTTTATTTTTTAAAGAAATTCTTCAGTCATTATGATAACTAAAGAAGAAAAAAAAAGAAAGAAAAATTTTGATTCAGCTCATCTTGTAGCTGATCCTCTTGATCTACACATTTCAAATTGTTCGAAGGTATCTGTGAAAAATCAAATGCAAAGTTTTCCTCACTTGATTCTATGAAAAAAAAAAAAAAACTCAAAAAGCTTTAACTCGAGAAGTACCTTGCAACTTTTAAAAACCTCAAGAAAACAAATGCATTTTCAGGAGAATACGTTCATAGTTGCAAAATGCCTTGAACTATTACACATTCGAGGGGACAAAATTAAACACTAACCTGTTGTTAAAAAATTAAGAATGCTTTGCAATTCATCTTCTTTAACACCATTTGTGAGCATCATGAGTTGCTTCAAGAATTCGAGGATGTGACTTCTTATCGCTAATATGTCTTTTTGAGCAGGTCGAGGGCCGTCTAGAAAAAGAGATGCAAATATATTTGTATGAAAACAACATCATGATTACTACAGAATTGATTTACATGAAACAGTTTAAAAAATTTAAAGTGCACTATTATTGCATCATTTATAATACAAATATTTACATAAAATCAGTAATTGAAATGAAAAACTGAAATATTGATACTAGGAAAATATTGATAAAAATGCTTTGGTCTATGCCAGCCTCTTAATGAGCTTTGTTTGAGGATGAATTAGATGCTATCATTTTAAATAATTGTGACTCGATCTCCTTCATGCCTCTTAGAGTTACGTAAAATTTTTACTTCAAGAAATTGTTTCTTCTGTTCATTTCTTTTGACACGAGAAATTGTTTTAAGTCTCAGGAGAAACCTAAGGTCTAGAAAATATTTAAGCAAAGAAAACAATTCCAATTTTTTGCTTCCCATCCAAAATTTGAATGATGCAATATGAATAAAAAAATCTACAGCAGGTTTTTCAAATTCTTTTAGCATTATATAGAGCAGTATAGAATGCATTCTAGCAGTATAGAATGTATCTCACAGACCTCTGTAGATTTTAAATATCGTAAAATAAAACAAAAGGTTTAGTTTATAACTTACCTAGCCCCTTGGGCGTAATGCCACTTTTATCGCGGGGATTGACAACCCAATAATAATACTTTAAAGTATGGACGGTTTGAAGAACGGTGGAGACTCGCCGAACGTTTGAATAAATTTGCGTATCGGACAGGAATTCCTTTGCTAAGTAAGAGTAGAGTCGGATTTGTACTTGGGCCGGTGTGTAAATCCACAAGGCAGGGTTGAAGAGAACGTGATCCAGCAACTGCCACGTCAGGAATGAATAACAAAATAACTGTAATTCAATTAGTTAGATTTTATCCCAACACCGAAGCAAGCTCTCAACCCAAAGCAGAGAAACAGCAGAAAAAGCAACAAGCCAGAATATTGACTGATTAATTGCAAGCGTCCCTTTTGTGCATTCAGTGTTATTATACAGGTTTGGTGCGGTACAAGTGCAGTGAAATTTCCCAACTCTTCCAGACTATTAATGTTAAAATTCTGGAAGCGTTCCCTGAATTTTCCTAGCATTATTAATAAAAATTCCTGACAGAAAATCACAAAATTTCCTGCCTATTCCTGACGGTGAGTTTCTAGACAAGTTCTGAGCTAGAACAACAATCACATGATGTATCTTCAAAATTTTAAGAGGAAAACAATTCACATGACGGGAAGTTCCGATATTAACTCCTGATCAAGATATCAACAAGTTTTTTGGACACACATCAAATGGAAATCAGATTTTGCAAATGACTTCCCTTTTATTTTTTCCATTTAACCAATGGTACTTAATTTTAAACACCAATATCTTGTTTAAGAGTTGATTTCCAAACTTTCCGTTGTGAGATTTATTTTCCTCATGATATTATGAAGAGAAAGCATGTTGGGTAGTGTTTAATTCATACTTTGTCTAGGGGCCCATTGTGTCGGAATTTCTTGGATTTTCTATAATTTTCCTCCGGCTTAAAAGAAAAACACACTGGTTAGATCATTGTGTTCATAATTCTAACTGTTTTTTTGCTGGTCTTTGTTTTATCCATTTTTCATTCGATTTTGAAAAACAGAGGTAAGTGTGGCCTGAATTAGACTTGTTATTTTCAGAATTCTTAGGGACCAAGTTCTTCTTCTCTAATAACCAGGGAAAACTTTGTACAAAAGAGGCGAGAGGCGGGAGGAAAAAAAACAGATTTTTTATAAAAATTTGAACAGGGTCAATCATAAATATGTAAAGTTAAGCTGTGAGTAATAATTTGTATAATTTGAAAAGATCATTAACATTTTTCTGATTATAAGCGAAAGAGAATGGAAGAAAAAAGACCTGAAAAACTTGACTTCATGCTAAGCTTAGGGAGCATATTTGTGCAACAGGGGACACTTAAAAAGGAAATTGTGAATCGAGTTAAAAAGAGTTCAAAAGTATAAAAGTTTTATAGATAAGAGAAGCAATAGAATAATAAAACATATAAAACATAGAAGTATGAGTAATATTATGAAAGTATTAAAAAATAAATTATATGATAATAAACAGAGGAATTAGTTCAAATAACGGAACTGAAAGTTGTAAATCACTAGTCGTATTTTGTTCGACGCAACAACTTGGGACATCTCATAACAATCGTATTTTGTTTGGATGTTCATTCTAAGGGGCGTGGCCTATTTTTGTTTGTTTATTTTTTTGCACAATTTGGCAACGTTTTTGCGACAGTGTTTCGAAACAATTGGAACGTCCTTGGAGCTTGTTACGACTGTTGTGTGCATTTGTTAACAGAATTTCTAACCTCACTTCTAGCTGCTCTGCTCTCATTGGTTGTGAAAAAGTGATGCAAATAATACAAAATCGGTAACAGGAAACGATTGTTGCATTGAACAAAATACGTCTAACGACTACGATTTAAACAAATTCTGACTTGTCATGTTTTATATCTTCACCCAAAGTGCATTGAGCATCTCTTAGAAAGCCATGTGGGTGACTCAAGGCAGAGCTCAACCTTGCCTCAAATTTTATCTCATCTGATTGATGCTTGACAACACAAAATGCCATATGAGGTACAGCATGGTTTAACATAATTTGCTCAAAATCTGGATTACATCGGTCTCCCTAGAGGCAAATTTTGCACGGGGAAACCAATGATGCACAGACAAATGGTATAATTCTTTGATACTTATGCTTTTTGTTTCATTTACAAACATGTTCAATAATTGCAAGGATCTGCAAGGCTTTAATGTCTATATTTTCATTTATACTTGGAAAAATATTATAGCTGTTTCAAAATTAATTTTTATTCATGATTCATTAACTGCTTGGGCCTGAAACATGCCTATCCTTTTGCATTCATTTCATTTCTTTCACAAAGTTACTGCTTTACTGTCGTAAGTAAAAGTACAGAAAGGACTGATATGAGAATAGAGAAAAATGGTATACAAATTGTAACCGAGGAATGATTATTACAAGTGCTCACCTGCTTGAGTAGGAGTTCACAATTTGAATTGAGGCATGTGACAAGGTACTTTGTAAGGCCCAGGAATGAATTTAAAACATCTATCGTTAAGTGTTCCCTGGATGAACGTTGCAACATATAGCTAATAACTAGGAAGCCACGGTTTTGGATCATGTGTTGCTGAACTGTCTGCGAACTTTCAACTAATTCGCAGATAAACCCCAATAATTTTGAACTGTAATAAGACATTAATACAAAATAGTATTAGTGGAAAAGAGAAGAAAACTTCTCATATTGTCATCATGTTTTCATATAATAAAAATCAAAAGATAAAAATTATGCGTCAGTTTTTTCATCCAAGCAATTTGCATAGTAAAAATATTGGTGTTGCAGTTCTTTCCTTATTTTTTTTCCTTTTCTTGCTGAAAACGTATGGTGCAGTATTCAAGAAAAGGAGGCTTTGTACTTGAGTAAACATTATGATAACTGGATGTCACATTATGCCTATGCCTTTAAGCTTTCAAAATTTAAAGAAAGAGGGTGCGTTGTTTTGAACACAAATTAATAAAATCACCTGATCACTTTGCACACACAAATTTTGTCTCCTGTTTAATTTTCTCGACTATTTAGCCAAATTCTTTCTTTCTTTCTTCTAAATTTTTACTAATTGTAAGGCAAATTTCTTAGGCTTCTATGTATTAGTCTTTGACGAGTGTTTAAATCAATGGTTACAATACATACGATAGATTTTCTTACCATAGAGTTGGATCTTTCTTTGAATCATTAGAATCCGTGAGCAAATCAAGCTGAGAAAAAAGAGGGAATAGGACTTGGATTCCGCCGACCGAGTTGAGAGTACTATAAATTGAATTAGTTATCACAGCTTTAACATCCTGAAAAGTTTGAACAAACAATGAATACTCAGACATATTTTCATGAAAGTATAACGACAAAAACATGCACCAATTTCAGTTTTCTAAATCACGATTAAGGACACTCAGGTAGAGCAATCTGATTCAGTCATCTCTTGTGAACAGCCCAAGCTAAGGTTCTCAGCACGGAACTGCTGTTTTAACCATTTTCTTTTACCCTCCCTCCATAATCCAAAAGATTTTGTTCAGATCTCCCCAATTTATTGACAGATGTTCTGATTAATGGAGATTCAAACTTCTCTCCACGTCAAAAAACATTAAGAGATGAAACGCATGGATTAAAAACAAAAATGAATAAATAATTTGGGATAATCAAGTTTGAAACTGGACTTATTTATGCTAAAATGAACTATGTCGCACGCAGTTCCTGTGTACATAGTTCCTTTTAGCGTAAATAAGTTAAACTGAGTAAAAACAGTCAACTCACCTGTAGCATTTGCGCATGAGGATTATGGACGAAATATGATTGGTTGCCTTTGGGAGCGGACTGAAGACAGAGCTGGCTATCAGTGGCAACTGGATTGTACATAAAAACAATGGCATTTGAAAGTTTGCCATCATATAAAACCTGGAAGAATCAGAAAATAAATTAATGATTTCACACCGATAATCAGGTCAACCATAAACAAGTACAGCTAGTTTTTTGCGAGAGTTTGGGAAAATTTACTTAGAAAATTCTCTTTGTGTTGTTAGCTAATTAGTCTAACATTTATGAATTCTGCTAGAAAGAAAAAGCCCTTTCCTTCATTTGAAGAATCGTAATTTTTATTTGCGTTTATAATCTGAAAAATAATATTGCTTAAAAAGAGGATATTTGAGTAATTTTTCTTGAAAATAAATGAAATAGAATGGACACTTATTCATTCAGGATCATGTATGAGATCCTTGATTCAATTATTGTCATCCATGCTTTTAATACGAGAAAAGAAAATATAGGCACTTATGAAGTCAAAAAGGCATTAAACAATAGATTTGCATAGCATTATTAAATGTTCTAGAGGCACACTGATATATGAATTCCACGGATAAATAAGATAGGTTCAAAATTTAGGAGAAAATTGCACAACAAAATATCTATCTAATACACTCCAAAAACAAAAAAACAAATGAAGTTAAACCCCATGATAATTAAAGAGTGATAAAAGCAAAAAACAAATATAGAATGATCATTGAGCTACATAAAATTTAAATACTTCGCAAGCAGCTTAACCATTCTCGTAATCATCGTAAAAAACTTTTAACCACAAGTAAACGCAAATAAATGTAACATAGAAAAATATGGAATGAAAAGTAGAGCAAAATAATACTGGATTGCAATACAGGGATTTATGAATTTCATAAATTCAGCGGATGAAGTACAACAAATAGACTGATAAAATGAACTACCATGAATTGAGAAAAAATGATTGATTAATATAATAATAATAATAAAAAAGGCATACATCAATTATTTCAAAACTCCACACAAAGAAGAAAACCCCGCTAAAACCCTGGCAAAGATCTCTCTGATCAATCTTGCCTTATTATACTCTCTTTAAATTAATCATAAGCTCGATCAGCACCTCAATCTAAAGGTAGGTAAAAAGGAAGCGCCAAAATATGTTGCAAATTTTATAAAGAAATCAATATAAATCCACTTTCAACGACTCTGTTGTTACTTCAACGATGACAATAACAAATATCAGTTACAGCAACCATGATGATAGTTGTTAGTCACAGCATGTAACAACTAGGTCGTTGATCACCACAACAGTTACGACAACCTTTGAAGAAAACTGGTGAGGATAACTAAGCAAACAAATGCAAAAAACTTAAACAACTTATCTGATCTATCCAGAGAAGTTGTTGCTTTACAGGTTGGAAAGGAGATTATTATGGAATGTAAAACCGTGATTTGAACATGAAATGTTTCCAAACGTAATTATAAAATAAAAATCGGAATGATTGATGGAATTTACATACTCAGAAAAGTGTAGTGAAATTTAAAATCTTCATTATGTCCTATGACTCTGTTAATTGATAAATTTCAGTTTAGTGAGAAATTACGATTGAAAGAAAGTGGTGCTTTGTGAGGATTTTCCTCACCTAATTTATCACAATTGAAATTGGAAACCATAAGCATATTTTCGTAGATGATCGGTCGAGTCAAAATACCGCGACGATGGCAGCGAGATCATAATCGGGTTTGTGAACAGACTTTCGAAATTGATGCTAGTCGGATGCCGTCAACTTCATCAGGTCATTTCGAAACCCTACGTTTTGTAGGATTATATTTTGGCTCCAACGTTTGCAAGAATTCCACCCTCTATCTGTCTGGTGAGTCCCGATGTTGTTCCAAAAAATTATGATTGTGTCAATATAAAATACGAAACCGCTAGATCCACCCATTTCGGTTCGACTGATCCTCAACGAAAAAACGCTTCATATGTTCTTTCAATTTCCAAAATAACTCCTGTTAAAAACACTTCCTTCTGAAACTTTGAAGAAGTATTCCAGACAAATATTTTTGTTGATAAATAATTTATTTCGTTAAAATTTTCATTTTTTTTCCCGTCAAATATTCAGTTCCTTCTGTGCTCTGTTTAAGTAACACTCAGTATTTTCATTATTTGATAGTTTTCCTTCTGGATTCGAACAAAGAGGTATTCAATGTCTTGTTATAGTGTCCCCATCTTATTGTCGTCTAAAGTGAGAATATTATAACCATTGGCGGATCCCGCAAATTGGCACTGTTGTCTTTTCTCCATTTAAACCTATGGAAACGTATCGATTCTTGGAGGGGCCAGGTGCTCCGACGAGAATCGATCATTTGGCATAGGTTTAAATGGAGAAAATCCCGTGTTGCCAAATTGCTAGATCTGCCTCTGATTATAACACCATTCTAAATTCTTGAATTGTATCTCAGATACAATTTTCATTCCTAGGGAAATTAACGAAAATTCATCCTTTACAATTCAAAATTATTATATCTCATCAGAAAAATGAATCAAGATCGTTTTCTTGTGATGAAATACATCACATTAGAAACGGATGTAAAGGAAGTTACCTGCAGTAGTTTGTTTTAGACATCACAGTGAGCTGTTGTGATTTTAGCTCATTGCTGGAGGAGGAAGAGGGGTTGAAGGTGTGAGGAGAGTTTGGGAAAAACTATAAAATAAAAAATAATAAAACTAAAAAAGATAAAAAGCACCAATTCTTACAGATTTGACTTTAGGCAGAGTCATGCTTAAAGGGTCATCCACTTCCTCACTCACCCTACGATGATTCTCGGGCAAATTTAGATGGCACTCATTATCACAAACTGGCTTAAACTGGCTCTGGAACAAAAAGGCAACCCATTTAAAATTGAAAATTATGACTTCACAAATGCAAGTAAAGGAGCATTCAAGTGAAATGTAAAAAAATATGTGAGGTAGAACTACGAGAGTGGACTACTGAGAGAAATGGGGTAGGAAGGCCAAAATTACATTTACTACGTAATAGTCAAAATTTGAAAATTTTCTTCTTTTATGGCATAAAAAATAATTTATGCTTTACTTTGTTAAAACAAGGATGAGAGTGGGTGGAAGTAAGGCTCAAGACTATCATCCTGTACTTCCTTGGAACGTCTGAAAAACATATTCTTTCGTTCCGGTTCAAACTGAACAGCAGACTGAATTTAAAAGATATAAACAAAGATATAATTTAAGATGCAGCAGGAACTAGAGCCTGAAAAAATGCCTGAATTATGGTGATGTTGGTCAAAAAGCTCATTTCATTCCAATGTATTGGAAAAATAGGATGAAATAGTCTTGGTAAAGCAAAACACTACCCATTTAAAATTTTTCAGGTAAGATTATTGAGGAAAAATAGTAATGAAGGAGAATCAAAATGTGTGTTGCTGTAAAAACAATTCAACTTACTTTATAACCAGGTCCTAGTCTGTGCATGGCACAAATTTGATGCGTTGTAAGAGCTTCATTGAATAGATAAATAGCAGCCATTTGACCACAGAAAACCCGTTCTTCATCTAATTCAGGCATAGCACCAATATAGCACTTTTCAAAAGGCTGAAAACACACATTAGAGATTTAATTTTTAAGTTACAATTCCAAAAAAAATAAGTAAATAAATAATAATTATGATAAAATCACGTAAAAATTAGACAAGAAATTGATTCATTACATTGTTGCCAGATAAAGTCATCTGACTCCAGGTAAAATATCCACATTTTATTACACAATCTGACATCTTTGTCTCTTTAACTAACATTGATGGGTTACTTTGGTTCAAAATCACCCAAAATATTCTCAATGTAAAATTAAACCACCAACTTAAAATTTGTTAGTGTAGGATACTTATAAAACCAAGTTTTTGTTCTAAAATTGTATTGAGCTGGTCTCTTAACCTTCCCCTTGAATAAGTTTTTCCAAGATTAACAATTTAATTTTGAATTTTGAATTCCATCTGAGACAAATGGTAAAAAGAGGTACTCACATCGTTTGTTGAGACAAACCAGGCCATCTCTGTACTTGAGGCTAGTTGCCCATTGACAAGACACTTGATTTCACTCTTCGTCCACCGATTATAAATATAAATCACAGCTAACATGTACCACTGAGGAGAATAACAAAAAAATCAGTATTAAACAATGGGTCAGGAAGCAAAATGACTTAAGGATAAGAATAAAAATCAATAAAGAATATCGATCTGGAATTTGAAAATTTTGAGTTTTGAAAAAACCAAATACTTCGACATTTTTTCATTGCAGTTACTACGCATTCTCACTGAATTGCCTCCGGACAGAAATAACCTTAGGATCAGAAAACTAAAAATTGAGAAATTAGTACCAGCGCTTAGAAGAATGCTTGGCTTTTAGGAGCATCTTGCTACGAAAGAAGCCAAAAGGAGGATTTCTAACAAAACCAGAGTTATGATAATTTGAAGTTCACACTTAAAAAACATACCCTTGAAAATAAGCTATTTAAAATTTTAATCCATTACATTCAAAATTCAAATTAGTAGTTATCCATCAGAAGATAAAACATTTTCATGCCCTCTATTAAAACAAAAATAAATTGAATCAGTCGCATCTTATTCTGTATGATCCTAAAAAGCGCTTTCCGTCACAAACTGAAATTCTAATTCTTTCAATCAACAAAAATCAAACATGGTGTTCGCAGTGAACTCATAAGAGTTCACTGCGATAGCTTCAGAATAGCTTCATAGCTGTTCATAGCTTCAGATGGAGTAACATAATATCGATAATCGATCATTCACGCCTTGCCACTGGTTCACTGACTGAACATATGGCTAAAAGATATTTAATATTAAACGGTCATGAAATGAAATTTAATGATATTCTCTTCACATTTTAGAAGTATTTTTGATGAATTTATTATTTTCGGAAAATGTTTTGAAGAGTAGGAGGGAGTAAAAAATTAAAAATTTCACTGACTCATCTGACAAGTTGATGAAGTGTAAGTAGGGATGGGATCAGACAGAAAAAAGTTGCAAAAAAAGTAAAATTTTTACCTTTCGAGGTTGGAATTCATACTTGACACAGTGCTGAAAGCCTTTCCCCTTAATTTTCATAGAAGTTAAAACTAAACAATTTCCAACAAAATGAGCTGAGTAACCAACACCTTTACTAGTCTTAAAACTGAAACAGATCAAGAATAAAAAATGAATTACACTCTAAATGTCTTTTTGAAATATTTCAGATGCTTTCAAAAAATTATGGTTTTGCAACGATAGTCGTGCTGATTCTGTAAAAAATGAATGGGGGGGGGGGAGATAGAGGAAGCCCTATTACAAAAATTTCTATTTATGATTATTAAAAGTGTATTGTTTTGCATCCTGTGAAGTGTTTTATGACAGGAGGAGGGAAATATTTCGATGAAAACAGGACATTCAAAAAGAAAAAAAAATACTAAAATTTTTCAGGAGAGGAAAAATGTATCTTTGATTTCATGTAAACTCGTTGAAGAGCAGGCATTCTAGTAAAAAAATGAATGATTATTTTTCTGCTTTGAATATTTTAAAATGAATGACATTTCCCTCAAATGGACCATAAGAGAAAAGTATACATACCAATATAAATACGGTTTTTCCCTTTCTATATTCACAGAATTGATAGGATCTAGTCGAAACCACGTTGTGAATGTGAACCCGTTTTCGTAGGGCCATTTTGCTAAAGGTGGTAACACAATGGCCTGGAACAAGAGTAAGGAATTAGACCATCAGACACTTAAATCAGCACAGTAAAATACCTAGGGAAAAAGTGTGCTCTCGTCTTACAATAGACGAACCAGTAGACATGGATAGGCACTAATTTCTACATTATAAGGTTACTGAAACAAACTCATAGCAAAATTGCAAGTAGATAACTTAACGCGCATTGGTGTAAGTTTGTAGTATACACGGAGAAATGAAGGCGTTTTGCACGTTTCATATCAGCTGCTGCTCACGCTCACATACACACATCACATACGCTGTGTATGGGCATACATTTTGGTATGTTTGCCTGCCAAAGCAATTTAAGCAGGTAACATATAGAATGAACACTTATTTCTAGATCTGACAAAATTCTCAGCTTAATGAGGCTTGGTGAGTAAAGAGTTGACTGTTTCAAAGAGAGTAATTTAAACTAGATCTTATTCACCAGACATACTGCGATTTTAACTGTCACTTCTGAGGGGTCATTTCATTTTTGTTCATTTATTAATCTTTCAAGTTCCATGAGCTAAAAACATCGTGATTGTGAGGGTGATTTTGACTTACCGATCCTTTTCGGCCAGGGAAACTAAAAAAAACATCCGGACCATTCCTCTGAGGCATTTGTTTTAGGACGTTGAGGAGTTTGGCGGAATGTCTGGGCTGCAAACAGAAAAGAAAACCAAGAATATTAGATGCTGAAAATACATAAAATGTGACGATCCAAGAGGAAGAAGACAACAAAAACTACAAATTACCGGGACTAAGGATCGTAAATTTTCCTTGGAAAGTTAAAAGCCCGAATGTATGGTTTCCTGGGAGCGTTCTTGGTGGTTTTTCAAATTGTGGAGTGATTAGGGTGAAAGCATGTGACTGTAAGTGTCTTAATTTTTTTTTTTTTTTTTTTTTTTTTTTTTTTTTTTTTTTTGCTGTATAAGTTTTCCAGGAACGTTACAGATTCCAGCCGAAATTTCCTGATAGCTTTCCATGGAACATTTCATTTGGGTCCTTTACTCAGGGAAGTACAGAGAATTTTCTCTCGAACTCGAAAAACTAGACAAAAATCGTCTTCCTGAAGAATTCCCCCACGGGATGATATAACGACAGTGAAAATCCTAAACCACGTATCTCGTTTGCGGTGTTTTGAAATTCCTGCTCCAATTTTATTAAAAAGAGAAAAAATGAACATCATTCCTCGAATTTTCCTTGCAAAGGAAAAAAAAATCACGGCAGTTTTGGGGCATTGCCGTTGAGTGGTTTTTCATTCAAGAAACCAAGCACGGAGGAAAATCTGCAACGTTGCAAATAGCGTATTGGCAGATCCAGAAAATTGGCAACATTGTTGTTTTATCTCCATTTAAACCTACGTAAATGTATCGAGTCCTGAAGGGGCCAGGTGCTCCGACAAGAATCGATTATTGAACGTAGGTTTAAATGGAGGAAATCCTGTGTTGCCAAATTGCTGGGTCCGCCCCTGAAATGTAGATACATGGTTTGGGAGTTTCACCGTCGATAAGCCTCTTTTCCCACGAACGGAAGAACTCCTCATCGGCTTCAGCGCTCCCAAACGAGCGGAAGCGAAAATTGATAAGATCATTCGCTCTTGGGCGGAGGAGGGGCGTAACAATGGATGCCTAATTGTCAGGCGACTCGAGTGGATTGAGAGGATTCGAGGTCCATTTCGGAAATGTTTCCCCGGAAGAGAGCGGCCGCGACCGGCGATTCTCCTCTCGCTCAGGCTCAACTCGACGGAGAAAACGCACTCAGCAAAATGAAAACGCCGATGCACGGCGAAATGACACTGAAATCTCCGGGAATTTTGAAGAATTCCCTACCATCGGAACATACATAATTATGCAGGACCACTATTATGAAACACACTGGAAAAAAAACCACATTGGATCTAGAGTCCAGACTCTTGAAAACATTGACAAGAAAAAATACTCTTGATTCAATCGGATTTTTGCTTGAATCAAAACGAAATCCACTTAAATTAAGAGGCTTGGTTCTTGATTTAAGCTAGATTTGATTGAATCAAGAGTACTTTTTCTTGTCAATGTTTTTAAGAGTCTGGACTCTAGATCCAATGTGTTTTTTTTTTCCAGTGCACTATTATGAAACACAAGAATGGACTGCACTTTGCAATAAGGAACTACGAGTTCTGGCTCATCCGTAAAAATACTTGTGAGCACGGGAAAACTAATGATACATACGTTGTTTCTAAACTGAGGTAGAAATTGTAGTTTCTAATTGCAAAGTATAGTCCAAATGATATTTTGTCCACACGTTGTGAATGGAATGAAATCAAGTCAATTTTTATTCTTATTATTATTAATTATTATTCTACGTTCGAGTTAAATGAAATTATTAAGTTATTTCAATGTATCTGACCATAACACCTCTAAAAACACATTAATTGACTCTGAATTACTTAAATTATTGCCTCTGTGACCTCATTTGACTCGACCTCAGATAACATTGCCTCGACTTATTTCTAAAATTGGAGCAGAAGAACACTTTCATTATTGACAGTGAGTGCGTACACCTTAAAATACGACACCTCGAAAAGACATTTTTTGTCTAAGTTCGTTCTAGAGATCTATTGGGCCGATTTCCATAATATTTACTGCATAGAAACATCTAGATGAGTCATTTCTCAAAATGTGTTTGGAACAAAATCTAGGTATATAAATATTATTCGATATGAATGTGTTTTTCCCCATTTAAGGAATGTAATTTTTTATTCACTTTAAGAATACTATTAGAATAAAAACATAATTCGAAATAATAATATTTTTACAACTTTTCATGGAAAAAATAATAGGAAAAATGTTGGATAGTCGGAAGGGAGCCCTGGTAAAAATTGGCCGTAGAATCTGTGTTCCAAAATACCATAGACCTACAGCCGGCTGTACGATTTCCAACAGCTTCTACAGCCGGCTATACAATATCTTACAGCCTTTTATAGCCGATGGCGATTAAGCAACAGCCGGGCGATAAAGTGTATGCTAAACGTTACTAATTACGGATGCTAGGACTTAGTGAGTTTTTGAACTACCGCTCTCTTTTTGTGCCGTAGTATCTTGATTTATTTTGCGAGGAAAGCTCCATGCTTTGAAGGATGCCTGTTATTCCTAATATGTTGGAGAGCCTTCAATTTCGTATGATACTGTGCAATACCGCTGGTGTGAAATAGTTGTTTCAGGCGCCGTGGCACGCTGCGGCGCGGCGGACGGGCGGCCAGCGCGAGACGCGCATTGGCGCCTACAAACCTAACAAGGATACTTCACGCATTGCGCAATGCGTGAAGTATCCCCGTTAGGTTTGTAGGCGCCAGTGCGCCGCCGCTCCGCTTTGTGTTTCGTTCTAATACTTAATTTCGCCGAGTCAGCGTTTTTCAACTCATGATTTTGAAATGTTTGCACATCTTGTATGAATTGTTCTCATTTTAATTCATAAAAAAAAAAATGTATTAAAGGAAAATATTATGTGTGTTTTGTTAATATTAAGGTGGTTCCGTATCAAACTTAATGATTTCCGAAGCACACAAATTTCTACACAATTTTTTGTAGCCTTTTATAGCCGATGGCGATAAACTGTATAGCCCGGCTGTATAATTTTGTATCGCTTCGTATAGCCCGGCCGTATGATTTTCTCCGCTTTCTATAGCCAGCTATATGATTTTCTATAGCCTTCTTTAGTCGGCTGTAAGAACTCCTATGGTATTTTGAAACGCAGCTCCTATCGCCAATTTTTACCCGGGAAACTTTGTGTCTGTGACAACTTTTCCTTTCAACGTGCTGAAAAACGTAGACGTGTTTTTCGAAAAAACACTATTATAGAATTTAATTTCACTGTTTGAATAAGCGACACTACTCGTTCGTGAGAACCTAGACAAAATATGTAAAGCACGAGGTTTAAATGCTTTATCCAAATAAATTTTCTAAGTTCTCATGATGTAACTTTGGAAAGGCTGACTACATGCCTTTATGAGCCCTAAGGCCTCCATCAAACGACATCCCACACTTTCCCAATCAGGTACTCTGGATTCCTACCATACCTTCTGGATTCTATTCCCACGAGGATATTTTAAATAGATGCTGAAGTTGGCAACGTTGTCCGATAGAGGGCCTACGAGAAGAGCTTTGGTTCATCGGAACGCACTTTCCATCAGAAGCGACTTTGCCTTTCACTCGTTAGGAGCGACTCTGACGGGGAAATATAACCAATCGCCTTTGCGTCGCGTCGCGGTTCGCGTAACGTCCGCTCATCTTGTGACCTTTCGGATGCTTCATTGTTCGCCTGAAAATGCTCTCACGGAAGCCTTTTCAGCTCTCGACTCTAATATTCTGATTACCCTCTTCGTCCGATAATTAGACTTCTTTCCACCGAGCGAGGAATAGCTCTGATGATATTGAAAATTTCGTATTTTCCCTCGATCTAAACCAGACGGTAGAGAAATTTTGATCCCACCAGATTCCCCTCCGATGTTCCATGCCTTTTACAGGAAATGGCTTGCTTTCTAAGAAAGCTCATAAAAGCTTTTGAAACGGCGCTTTCCGACAATCAAACCGAAATCTCATAAAAAAAAGGAAACATCTCTCATAGAGGAAAACAACGTTTTTAAAAAAGGGGAACACTGCGGGGAAAAAAGTCGCTTAGACTCTTGAAAACAAAGACAAGAAAAAATACTCTTGAATCAATCAGATTTTTGCTTGAATAAAAGAGAAATCCGCTTAAATTAAGAGGCTTGGTTCTCGAACGAAGCAAAAATCCGATTGAATCAAGAGTATTTTTTCTTGTCATTGTTTTCAAGAGTTTGGGCTCTAGATCCAAGCTTCTTTTTTTCCAGTGAAATAATTACGAGATCAGGAAGAAAAGACAAACATTTTTTTTTTTTAAGAAAACAGCAACATGAGTCCTGATAAATGGAAAAAAATTCCTCATACGAAATCTCATTCATAAAGTTGTGGAAATTCCAAAGTATGAACGTATAATATTATCGTAAATAAGTCCTGCTCAATGGCAAAATTACGTAGCTGCAGTAAATTGACTGTACTTTGGTAACATAATGAATTGCTTTTTAATTTAAAGCAGGAATAAAAGGAAAAATGAGAAACTAACTTTTTACGTTACTAAAAGAGTAGATATTACTACACAGTGGCGGAAATTTCTTTCGGATTGATGGACGTTGATTAAGTTACAGTCGTGGAAGCATGATATAAATTGACATGATTGGATGGAGTATATTTACGTATAAAGGTAGCCTAATAAATTGATTTTTAATTGCAAGCAGGAATGAAAGGAAAAATGAGAAACTAAATATTTATGATATTAAAAGGGTAGATATTATTACACAGTGACGGAAATTTTGTTCGGATTGATGTACGTCGATTAAGTTACAATTATGGAAACATGCTATAAATTGACATGATTGGATGAAGACTGTATTATTAATGTATGTTGCCGGCGACGCACAGTAGAACGAGCCAGTAAAAGCGGCCGGACATAAATTTTTTGGCTAACATTTCAAATTTTAATGTTTATTTCGTCACAAACTCAACTTCAAAGTGTGTTTCTGAAAGGAAATTAAACGAAAAAACCAATAAAACTTCTCTTAAAGTTTTGTGTTTCATATTTTCGAAAATATAAGCTTTCAAAATTTTCAGGTATTGTCCGACTTCTCCTACCGACTTCTATTGTCCAGTGTGCGACGGCTGAAAATAATGAGGTAGCCCTCAAAAGAGAACGGGCGAATATAACTTACCCATTTTCCATTCACAGCTTTCATTGCACCGAATAGTAACTTCAATTCTTTAACTGTTATACTATAACTGGCTAGAACACCTAACATATCAATGAGCAAATCTGAAACAGAATAAAACAAACGTAACAATTTTCTTCAAAGTCAAGAATGTTGGAGAGTCCATGAATGTAGAAGATGATTCGGACTACGGTTGAGGCAACTCACTAAGGCATCATTACAGCCTCAACTTAAGGAGCCTTGAATGAACAAGGAAATTCATTTTAGACGAATAAAATCAATATTAACATCGTGTTTCCCACGATATATGGGTCAGCTTCGCTGACCACAGAATCACGTTTTGACGCTTGATTTTTATAGATTAGCTAAAAATATTCAGATCCGTACAAACTGCAACTTTCTACGTTCAATATAAACCAAGATATCGGCGCTTGAAAAGTCGAGTTTTTGACATCATCCACCGTGGTAGTGATACCCATGGTTTCATACACCTAGCATCAGTCGGTGTGACGCAAATTAGCACTGGTTATTCAACGTGAAACCCGGACTAAAACAAGATAGAAGAAACCACGGGTGTCACTACCGCGGTGGATGACGTCAAAAACCGGACTTTTCAAAGGGCGATATCTCGGTCAATATTGAACGTAGAAAGTTGCGGTTTGCGATCTTATTATTTTTAGCTTATCTACAAGAATCACACACAAACAAAAAACAAAACTCTATGGCCAGAGCAAAATGACGCATTTTAAAGCAATAGTTGTAAAATCTCAAAACTCCTCGGAGAGATTCATCAATCCATTTGCATAAAATTATGAGGGTTTGACGCACGGTACGATGCTTAACCCTCTGCGATACCCCACTCTCGATTGTGATGCGGGTTGCATCTGTCGCCGACCAGGCGCACTAACCACGGACGCCGTTAACACGGCCATTAGCCGCTGAGCAAGTAAAATCCTGATTAATTTTCTTTGTTTGCGCATCAGCTCCGCCCTATATTTACACGGGAGCACGCTTTAACCCAACCGGATCAACAATGGAATCGTCCAAACACGAGCGCGATTGTTGGTAGTAAGGATTCGGTTCATCTGATTGTTGATCTAATTGCGCCCGCATATGTATACTTCAACTGCCGTGCTAAGGAAGAACGCCGTATGAGCCTTTAGACGTTCACATATTTCCTTCCATAAAAAACTAATTTATTGGGAAAATTTTGAATATTTTTCTTCAAATTTGACAGAAAATTTTGTTCGCAATTTAATCTAAAAGATCTGAACATTTCAAGGAAAAATATGCATAACGATCCTCAAAAATTTATATACTATCTAGAGAAATTTGGCAACTCTCGAATGTTCATACGGCGTTTTTACACAGCACGGCTGTACAGCTGTCCGCACACGGTCAGAATGAGGTTTTCAACATCGGTAATCGATGCAGCGGTTGACCCTTGTTGGATTGATAAAATATTGAGGTTCAGAATGTTTTGACGCGAGCGTCGATGTGTTTTGAGCTCACCATTAATCATAAACTGGACTTTATCCGGAAATATGGGGTCAGTATATCTGGCGATTGTGGCACATATCGACAGCCAAGGTGCGAAACCACGTATCTTCGTTCGCGACGTTGCAGACTTCCTGTCATAATTCATTTTTCTTTGGAAAACTAGTCATCTTAATTTGTTGAAAACTTCCTTGATTTTTTTTCTCTCCGAGGCAGAATGTGCTCCAGAAATTTTAAGTCATACGACTGACCGGTTTCGTCTCGAAATAATCAAATAGGAGCAGAGATTTTGAAATGCAGCAATAAAGATACATGGTTTTGCGTTTCAGCAGTCGAAACGCTGTCCCTAGAATGAGCTTGAAATAGCTTGTTTTTATTGCAAAATTCCGATTGATTTTTATGAAATTTAAGGTGTTAACTATCCATTGGACTAAATTTTGAAAGAGGAAACTAAAACTTCCAGCTAATTTTGGAAGAAAAATGTGTGCCATAAGTTTTCCTTTGCAAGTGCGTGCTTTTATGAATGCGAGCCAGGAATGTCACTTCCTTACTGTAAAGTTTAGTCCAATTAGTTTTTTTCTATTTTAAAGGCCTTATTTTCATTGCGTGAAGACATTTTAAAATGAAATTTAAAGCCTTCCAAACAATTGCTGCGTTTTTCGGGAACCCGGGGAATTAAATGGACTAAATTTTGCAATAAAAAGCAATTATTTTAGGCTTATTTAGAGGACAAAGTTTGCATCGTTAGTTCTCTGTTGTAGGTAGGCACTTTCATGGATAAGCCAAGGACGATTTCAATTATGACCATTCTCCTTAAAGGGGTTTGGAAAGATATTTGTCAAGAATAGAAAGCTGAAATATACTTCTAGACTTAAAGGCCCCGTTTTTAATTGAAAATGAACTAGTATAAAGACAGTATTTCAGCGTAATGTGTTTAGCATCTCAATGTTTGAATATTTCTGGCTTAGACCCACCACATCACGTTGCAGTGGCTTGCATCTCCAAGAAAATTACCGAAACATTTCGGACAAATTTACACATCGATTTGTTTCCGGAATTTGAAGAAACTACTTGGACTTATTTGCAAAATACACATCAAGATCAGTTGATTAAAACCGACACGAATTAGCGTTTTCTTGATGGCTGAGCGGTACTATTGTCAGAAATACAACTATTCGAGCTTCAGCGTCGTGATTTTGCCTATCCTCCTCGTTGAACGCAATTTGAGGCAACCGAATCTTAAAGATATTTCATCTCCGGCGTTTTCTCTAAGATATCAACATGTAGAGTGATTTACGGCGAAGACTCATTGATCGAACTAGAGGAACACCTCATGAGCTACCTTTATTGCCCTTTGTTTCGAAGAAAGCTTCGGAAAAAACTATTTAAGAGACAGGACACTTAAAGTCTCTCCTTTCCACGAAAGGAAAAACGCTAGAAAATTATTAAGAAAATATTCCGAGACACCCTGTCTGTCCTAATTTCTGATCTGAGAAAGCTCTCCAAAGCTTGTAGAAATATTGTTAAGATTTATAGCAACAAATCTTAGAGGCAGAGTTTTCCTCCGTTAATGATTTCGCTTCTCTCAGGGTACACTCGAAACGAAGAGTCTGCCTTTTAAAGGCTTCGTAATTGAAAGTATTTTGGGAGGCGCAAAGGTTTTTCATTTATTGTTCAACAGACTGACCCTCGATGTCGCTCCGAAGAGCTTTTAATGTTATACTTTCACTTGAAAAATAAGAGGAGCCACAGCGTTATCTCTTCAAATTCCTTAATGAGGCTTGAGAAGTTTTTTTGTGAGTCAAGTAAATGTAGCTCTTTAAAAAAAAGAAGACCGGCGTAAAAATAAAGAAGGACTCGTAAAGGAAAATATTACACTGGAAAAAAAAACACATTGGATCTAGAGTCCATCAGACTCTTAAAAACATCGACAAGAAAAAGTGTCGAAGAAAAGGTTCAATCAGAATCTAGCTTAAATCAAGAACCAAGCCTCTTAATTTAAGCGGATTTCCTTTTCATTAAAGCAAAAATCCGATTGAATCAAGAGTATTTTTTCTCGTCAATGTTTTCAAGAGTCTGGACTCTAGATCCAGTGTGTTTTTTTTCCAGTGTATTTTTGAATGTGTTAGCGGCTGAAGATAAAATTGAAGATATAATATTCTTACCGGCAACTATATTATCAGCGTGGCTTAGCCTATTCAACACATGCTCGATGAGGCCGACATCGGTGCATGCCTGAAGGTTTCGGACGGATTTCCTTAGGATGGCTATGAAAACACTCCAAATTTCAGCCTGAAACAAACAAAAAAAATCAAAGGTTAAAAAACTGACGATGGGTGTCGAGGAATGGAGAATAGGAGAAAAACAAGGGGAGAAAACTGGAAACAAGGCTGGAATACAACAATAAAAAACCCGAAATGTTTCGACTTAAAACTGAGGACTCATTTCAATAGACTTATTTGAGGACACATTTTCAATAGGAAAATAAACTAAAAACTTAAAAAAACCAAAGAAAAACCTGAAACCTATATGTTGGTGGCTGAGATTCGAGAAAAAACGCACAATTTAATTTTCAGTTTATTTTCCGACTGAAAATGATTCAGTTTTGAGTCGAAACGTCTCAGATTTTTTATTGCTGTATTTTAGCACTCTATTATGTTCTGGTATCAATTGGACTGCATTTTGCAATTTTGAACTATAAATTCTGGCCCGGTTTAAAAACAACGTATGTGCTATTAGTTTCCCTATGCACATAAGTGTTTTTTGAAGATGAGCCAGCATGTTTAGTTCCAAATTGCAAAATGCAGTCCAATTATTCAAGTTTGAGTTCTTGCAGTTTAAGGTCCGTATCTCGCGAGTGGTCAAAAATAATTACTTCCTCGTTGCCACGAAGACTTATCAATTTTTATTATTTTCAAACTTGCCTTCAGTAAATTAATGTAATATCTAACGAATATTAGAAAATCTGCGGCAGTTTCTAGTCACGGAAGTTCTACTGAGCACCAAGCTTTGAAGAATGTCTAAAATTGTGAGCCTTGGACTATACTTCATATGAGGGGTTAAAGTAGAAACATAAATCGTGGCGCAAGGTGCATGGGTTCTACTATACGAGAAATGCCAAAGCATCTTTTCAGAGGAGGAAATTGAAATTGATTTCCGGCCTGAAGAATAGGAAGCCCCGCTGTAAAAAACGGGCTGCTTCGAGTCATTTGCAGAGGCGGATCCAGCAATTTGGCAACGCCGGATTTTCTCCATTTAAACCTGTGCTACCTAATCGATTCTTGTCAGAGCACCTGGCCCCTCCAAGAATCGATACATTTCCATGGGTTTAAATGGAGGAAATCCGATGTTGCCGAATTGCTAGATCCGCCAATGGTCATTTGGGGAACGTTTCGGCGCATTTAATCAAAGTCGCGTTCCACGGTGAAATGAAAAAGCGTGTTGATGTTGTTAGGACTCGATACGGCCTACTTTCGAAAGCGAATCTGGACTCAAAGAGAATATTGTCTCGTGAATTATGCTGCCGTGCTGGGGGAAAACGCTACATCAACATTTGGACGAAGTAAAATTTACCCCGATAAAATATTTATGGAAAATTCAACAAATTGTACCACCCACGGGAAAAAGAGCCTTCGTCGATAAAAGCTCAAAATTTAATTATTGATACCAGAGCACAGAGATGAGCTTTGCGAATTTCAGGGGGCAAATAATCCAAAAAATTGCGTTTCCAAAAATCGAAGTGTTTTTTAAGTGTTGTTTGTTATGTGTTTTTTGACCTTTCTAACCTAAGCTCTGATGATGACTGGAAGCCGAAAAGTTTTAGCGCATATTTTATTAAATAAATAAATAAGTGAATTCACATATAACACCTTGGCTGATCTTTTCTCTACAATCATATTTCAAAATGGTGTTACTAATGAACGATTTCATAAATAAACAAAATATTGGGATACCGATTTAATTATTCCTACCACCTAAATTGTGAAATCAATCCAAAAGGGCGGATTGAATTTCCGCGGTTAAAAAAAAAGAAAGAAAAAAAAACTAAAGTTTGAGAAAAAGCTATCTCCGATTCTAATTTACCATGTTCTTGTCTCGATATTTTCCTTCTTCTTCTTCATTTTCGTATTTTCCTTTTTTCAGATCATACCGAGTCTTGAAAAGCATAACCTGTCAAATGTCGGTTAAACGTTGGAGCTTCCCGTGCAACGAGTAACAGGGTCGCGTCGCCGACATTTGTCGTAGTTGCTCGCTTATTTCGAAGAGATCTTCAATTCGTATTCAGAACTACACTCATCAGAATTTGCCGGCAACCCTTAGTATTGAAATATGGTACGAGAAAATAGGCGTTTCTTCTTCGGTGCTGTTTTAACGATCCTCGAAAATCGTGGAAGTGTTGCATGTTGATGCGGTTCGAGGGTCTTCCGAGTAATTCTCCGAAAAGCTTATTTTTTTTAAAGTGTTTCTTACACAGTGTTTCTTGAATAAAAGCTGCAGCGACGGGGCTCATACCTTCAGGTTTGGTTCGTGTGTTCCTTTATTTTCAGGCATAATTTCTGAGATTTGCCCTTGCCTCAATCAAGAAATTCCAACTCTCATTAGTGCGTTACAGTTATTCTTTACCCTCTATTATTATTTTCTGTACACCGAGAAAAAAGTTCGGGCGAATGAACCGAATATACGGTGTTCAATATCGGCCGTATTGTTTGGTTCATGCGACCGCACTTTCGATTCTCGGAACCGTATCCTCGGTTCATGCAACCGAGTTTTTTCGTTAGTTCTATTCGGTTTGAATGCTTGGTTGCATGAACCGAGGATATAGTAAGACAGAACTTAAGAAACTCGCCAAATTCATAAACGCAGTTTCTCCCCTAATTTTGGGTCATTTCGTCCTTTTACGCTATCTTACCCCGGTTCGTTTTCTCTGACTGTGGCCACTCAGTGCAACGAGCAAGGAGCTTAAATTCGAACACTATGCGCGAACCGGCGACAGTGGCGCGCTCCGGCGAGACGTACCGGCAAAGACAGCACAAAAGACGAGGGAAACCGAGGTTGCCAGATTTTGTGAAAAGATTGTGTTAAACATCGAGTTAACTGGAGACATGGGCTGAACTTGCGGCACAATGTGGCAACAATGAGGAGAGCTCCGGCCCGGGAGCTCTTAACATTCGCTAAGTGACTTAACAGCGTCGTCTTCGTCGCGTTCCGCCTTTTGAGCTTTTGAACCAGACGACCCACCCCCCCCCCCCCCCCCTCGGGAGTCGAATTTTTACGAAATGAGGAGCTTTGACAAAAAACGGCTCGGGCTTACGGGCGCCTTTATTCGGACGGCCGAGGATTAAAGGGAAGACGCGGAAGATAAACACGGGCAGATGTCGGCGAAAAGACGCTGAATTACTGGCTAGGTCCGCTTCGAAACCGAAAAGTCGATTATTTGATGGACCCTACAACGCGAATATTCTTACGGTACTTAGGGTTCATCATAGAGTGGAGTTGTGGGGTTTTGACATGGAGGGCCGGAACGCGGGACAGCGTGGAGCCGCGGGGCTGGGAAGGGACTCCGGCGGAGGGCTTGGAATAACAGAGCCCTGAATAATTTCAGCGTGTGGTGTATCATCGCGGGGAGTCCCGGATGCGTCGAGTCCCTCAAGGAGTCGCCCGTAATCGCCGGGCCGTTAAACAGTAATGCCCTGGTTTTGACCTTGCGCTCTAGCTCCACTAGGAAACGGTGTATTTCAGTGAGCCCGCATCTTTCTTGCGGTACAAAAGTATGTATTTTTGGAGGTCATCGCTCAAGCACTGGAAAAAAAACACATTGGATCTAGAGTCCAGACTCTTAAAAACATCGACAAGAAAAAATACTCTTGATTCAATCAGAATCTAGCTTAAATCAAGAACCAAGCCTCTTAATTTAAGCGGATTTCGTTTTGATTCAAGCAATGTCAATGATTTCAAGAGTCTGGACTCAGGATCCAATGTGTTTTTTTTCCAGTGAGTTATCAAGAAGTTGAGAAAACTGCATCTACTGCGAGGCAAGAGTTGTCGATACCGCAGGACGCACGATGTGAGTCCGCCACCACGTATCTCGTTTGTGGGGTTCGAGAGTCTCCGCTCCTATTTCATTTTTGGGAAGGAGAACAAATCGACACCATTCCTTGTTAAAGTTTTCGCAGAATTCTGTTCGCACAAAGAGGAGAAATCACGGCAGTTCATAAAAGTTGCCGTTGTGAAATTTTTTAGTTAAAACATGAAGTATGACAGGAGGTCTGTTACGTCGCGAGCCGAGATACGTGGTTGCGGACTCACACCGTCGATATTCCCGAATTGATAAGTATTGCTATGCGAGAGATGTTTTCTGGTTCACCCTAGAGTCCCTTTATACCCAGAGTTAAGACAACTCGATTATCAGCTGACTGGCAGCCGGCCTTGGCTGGCCATGGAGGCCGAAACGAGTGCACCCAAACGAACGATATTGAGGGATAAGGATCAGGAATCCTGCGATGTCTGTCACACAAAAACAACAACATCAACAAATTGATCAATTAAAAAGAAAATGAGATTGGTTTGTGAATAATTTCTTAATCTATTTTCATTTTGGACCGATGGAAATAACAATTTACTCTTGATAAACCACAATTAGGTAATATTTTCATTATTCTTGTTCACATTCGAGGTACCGCCATCTTGGTGCACTCGTTTCGGCCTCCATGAGCGAGAACCAATCAGAATTGGATTTTTTTTTAGGCCACTTTCAGCCCAACCAAAAGTGAGTTGTCTTAACTCTGGGTATAAAGGGACTCTAGTTCACCCTAATAACTAAAGCAAGGCAAATTGCGCGACCAGCTCTATACCCCCTTCGTTTCAGTAAATAATTTGCAGGTGTCTGACATGCTGCAAATTTCATGTTTAAAATGAAATTACTGATAGAACTAAGCACGAAGATATCCTTAGTTTCTAAACAGGGCCGGATTTATCTACTTGCCGCCCATGAACCGTCTGTATTTTGCCGCCCCCTTCTCATTCATTTTGAAACATCAATAAAAACCATCAAGTGAACGTGCCAGCGGGGGAGGGGTGCATAAGACGCATTTACCTACTCGTGTTGGATACATTTTTTGCGAAAGCCATGTCAACACTACCAGCAAAATTTCACGGAACTTTGCGCGAGAGTTAGTTCCGTAAACCTATCTCTGTGTGGACAAGATCCTCCATTTTTAAGAAATGAACCAACAAATTATGAAAGAACATTAAAAAGGTTTAATAATTTTAACTTCCGCCGCTGCGCCGCCGCG